ATATGTAAGAGAAAAAAAAGTTATTTGTAACTAAGTTATAGTGAGCTATGACCTACATTTGAAAAACTGAAGTTGGTGCTGATATCTCAAATTCTAGAAGAGTTGGTATAAATTCCATATTTTTTTCGAAATCACTTTGAAAAACTGCCATTAGAATGTGAAATTCCTATTTGGATATTTTCATAAATAAAGAAGTTACGGAGGAGACATGAAAAAGATCAAAGTCTGTTTTTTGCGTATAAAACAAAAACGAATAAATTTTATCAAAATATTTTTTCACATTATAGTTGGCCTTGACAAACTACACATTTGGTGTCATTTAACCGACCTCGTATCTCTCACCGTTAAAAAGATACCCATGGTGAGCATGGTAAGTGGGACACACTGTATACCTATATTATGTGTATGTTCATTTTATCGAAAGGAAAAGAAATCTACTTATATGCTAGAGCATGCACCTCTATGTCCGCATGAATATACAGAGTGTTTCCTAATGACATGCTAATATTTAAGGGGGCGATTATTGGACATATTAAAAAAAACTCTTATAAATGTATGTCGTTAAGGTCCTAACTTTTGAGTTTTATTCAATTACTATAGGCAACCTTTCAGCAGATCAAAAATATATATTCCAATTAATTGCTGAGATCCTGAGGGCAAATGAAAAAATGATAATATTTGGCCAATCGGATTTCCATTAACGCCGTCATGTGGACATGATTGTGTTAATATTTTACTAAAAATAAGTGAGCAACGAAAGGAAATTCCCAAATTTTATACGAAACTATGGAGGGTCGTCACTCAATTTCGTAGAAAAATCTCTTGTTGAATCTTGATAGAACGGAAAAATGAGACTCCGAAGTTTGATGTAAATGCTGATGAGTATACTCCATTCAAGACAATCGTTCAGATTTCTGGATAACCAGAATATTATGTAACATTCTGAAATTTTCATACTATTTCAGTCACATATTACAGACGAAATTTCGCTATCACCAGGGTGGAGAATAGAAGGATATATGCATATTCCAGCGTTCATTTTCTCAACTTTGATGGCCTGTATCTCGAAAATGAAGCGATTCCAGATTCCAGACAAAATTATACGTTAATAGGAACTGTATTCAACTCTGAAATAAGCCAAGGGATCACTTCCTTCAATATGTACATAAAATTGAAGAACACCCTGTATACCATTTCTCAAATTCAATCTAAACAGAAACAACCAATTTTTAGAAATTCAAATTTGAAAGAGAAAAGGCAATGAAAATTTCCATTTTCAGGTTCTCATTCACACGATCATATCATTATAATGATATGATCATTTGAAAGAAAATATGACAAATTAGTATTTAACGCAATGATCATGTAATTATTACATGATACCGAGTGCGAGAGTGTAGCCATTACATGATCGTTTTAGATACTATTTTTTCTACAACCAATGAACAAAAAAATTGCTTGTACTTTTGACGCGTTGTGATTGAATGTCAATTGAAATTAAATGTCAAACAACTCAAGCAAGTGAGATAGGAACGTGAACCCTATACACTTGATTATTCCCAAATACGTCTTTCTATAGGCCGAAAATTCGTTTCATGATAATAACTACGTGTCTTCATTGGTCAAAACTGAATAGAATATCATTGTTACCCAGGGACCAAGCCGAGGGATATAGTAGTAGTAGTATTGTGGAGAGGCTGTAGCCAGGCAAGTAGACCCCTATGGGCCCTTTTTGCCAACCCCTGCTCTCCACATATCTACACATCCCTCTTTTAGTTGTCCCTTTCGAATCTTCCCGTCCTTCTGATGAAGGTCAGGATGTCCGTCCACTCTAATTCGACCAAATTTACCTGTTGTAGTTTATCTACTCCAAAGATTTCGAATCTCATCCTTTCATATATACGCCTCACACTCTCCGAGGAAGTGAAGTGATGTCTCCTCATCTTCTCCGCATTCACGGCAAGTGGGACTATCTTCCACACCTATGAGTGATAGGTGTCTGCGTAACCTGTTGTGCCCTGTCAGTACCCCTATAAGAAGACACAGGACTTGGCGATCCCTGCCCAGTAACCAAGCCGTCTTTGGCTTGCTTGGACCGGCCAGCAGGTCTCTCGATTGCCTGCAGCCGCCTATACGCCTCCAATATCCTTCTAGTGCCTCGTCCGCCCATATGTTAAGGGCAGACGAAGTTTGGCTTCTTGTTATGCCCAGTGCAGGCTCCGGTCCCCAGAACGGTGTCGCGGATCCGATTCTAGCCAGCTCGTCGGCCACGTCGTTCCCGGGCACCCCCCTGTGACCCGGAACCCATACTAGTTCGACTTCCTTCTGTTCAGCTAGATTCTCAAGAGCATCGCCACATTCCTGCACCAAAGCTGAGCTTGGTTTAGGATGGCAGATAGCCCTGAGAGCCGCCTGACTATCCGAGCAGATGTAAATCTTCTGCTCTGGTCCCTCTTTCACCTCTTGCCTCTCCGCTACTGCCAGAATGGCAAAGACCTCAGCCTGGAAAACTGTGGTATACTTTCCAAGAGCGTAGCTCTCCCTTATGCCTATTCCTGCCTATGCCGAGGGATATAAGGTCCCGTGTAATCTTCTTTACTACCAAAGGTGTATATTAAATTGTTTTCACCACTAGCAATCAATTTCAATTATTATATAGTTTTGTGAAACTGAGATATGGACCTATATGTCACTATGAAAGCAGCTCTTTTCAATTCCTATAAAAATCTAGTAGCCCTGACCATGACAACATATTATTATGACAATTCGTTACTAGATTCGAATCTTCGAGTACCATTCCTGCGAATCTTGCATCAGGAAAGTGAATTCAGGTTAATTATTATAACAGAGGTGGTACGAAAACTACCTTGGTAGTAAAAACATACTTTGGGTTCTATAGCTATAGTGGTGGAACAAAAATATTATACATATAACTTAGAAAATTATAGATGATTACTGAACTGATACCCATCACCCATTAGAATTCAATTTGCTGATGAATCCAATGCCTTCTGTTTTCTGTCGTAGGGGGGAGAAAATTCACGTTGCTCGCAGCTTTCGATTCACCGTTTTTATTTGGATCATTATCGGGTTATCTTTCCCTTTACGGTTTTCGGAATAGATTATTTCTCTTTTGATTTATATTTAGACTACGAACGGGGGAAATATGCAGCTAATCAGATTTTTCTCAGGACAAGCCTGAAACTCCTATAAAAGATGAGAAAAAAGGAAAAAATTTAACAGGAGAACCATGCCAATGGTTGAAATGAATGTTAGGTATCGTTTGTCTATTCAGACTTCGTGTGTAGCTCTGAATTCTCGCAAGGAATAACTGGGTGTTCACTGTTCATAGACAGTATAACAAGCCTGGAAAACCATTAACTTCTTCATAATTTTGACTGTAACCATATCGATCGTGCATAGTGATTTGAGAAAAACCAATAAAGTATAAGGAGTGGTTTCTGGTGAGGACTATCACCTGTCAAGCGTTGTCGGTAGAATTTCGAAACACACTGTATAGTCAAACTAAACACAGTAGGAAATAAAATGATGTAAGCATGTGGATAAATACACAACATAGAAAATCAGTATTTTTTCATGTTGTGTGTATATTTATCCACACGCATTCATCATAGGTTTCATTTCCTTTTTTTTTCACTATCTAAATAAGCGTATTGAAAAGGAATATTCTCAGATATATTTATGAACACAAAAAAAATGGATATATATATATAAAGAAATACATTGAGAATTCGTATTCTCCATGTGATGGAAATTATTAATTCTTTCTCGGTTTATTCAACAGAAAACAACTAACAACTATTTTCCTGGCTATATGCCACGACGAACATTGAATTACATCTATTGAACACACACGATAAGAATTTAAAAACAAAATCTTCTGAAGTAGAGAATTTGCATTCTCCTTCATATAAAGATATGCACAAGACATAATATCATTCTGAATATTTAACAGAAAACGACTACTATCCTGGCTATTTGCCACGTCGAACATTGAATTATATCTGTTGAATATCCAAAAAGAGAGCATAAATAAAAAATCAAAATTCTCTGAAATTGAGGATTGACATTATCTCTCAAATCGAATAAAGTAATATGATGTATTATGACATAAAAATATAACTTACCAATATGTTCAGTATTGAAATGAAAATAGAAATGTATAGGAGAAGTATATTTGTATGAATTCTGATCTTGATGAGCTTGGAACTTAAAAAAAAAATCATTCGTATCAGTGATATGGGAATTATATCTTCCACAAACAGGTTATATGACTTCACTCGAGTAAAACTCATTTCGGATATCAAATCCTCATCAGTAACCTGAAGTCCAGTTATTCTTTCAGCCATTCTTCATGATATACACAATTTTCATCTCTCAATAATATAACTAAAACTATAACGAACTGACATCTGAGAATTATAATTTGTTGACATAACCACTGTCATCTGGGCATTTGTTCTTGGATGTACCTATGATAAATTGATATTCATCATACAGGACGTGGAATGAAAAAAAAAACGTGTTTCTTTAGTATTTCAAGCTTCTATATTAATTCAATTGTACTTGATCCTTCCTTGAAGATGCAAACATACCTATAACATGGTGCATCAATTGGTACGGTATATTGTCGTTTGTCTAGTATCTATGAATAGAGTGATTTCCTGAGAAACTTAAGTCAAGCAGTAATGTTTGACAAAAAAATCATTGATTCACTCTAATGGTACACCACTCAATTTTTTCAAGAACTCATATCGGACCGACCAATCCAGAATCCATCAGATATACTCTAGGGAGTCTGAAGTGTGCAATTAACCGAAATTGAACCAACACTTTATGATGATGATTATCAAATTTATTACTGCACTATCGTTGTTCAAATATTGATCGGGTGGGAGGTGTTCCTTGAGGAACCTCCCAAGTTCCTGATGCTGAACGGAGCAATGATGTTTCCCTGCTGGGAAGACACGCCTACTATCCCAAAATTAGCTAGACCGCAAAAGAGGATCACTGAACAGCTTAGTATATGCAGCCTGAGGCTATCCCGTGACGAGTTTATCAATTGGTGCGGTCTCAAGTTTTCCTGAATTTTCGTGCTAGTGTCAGGATGTATAGCAATTCTCCGCCTGGACATCAGGATGTTTTCCAGTATGGGTATCCTGCGAATCACAATTACCACTATATTTCAGGTAATAGACGAGACATTTTTTGCACAAAAAATAATTGAAATGCTGTGACACTGAAAAAATGACAGTGTCTTTTCTTCCTCAACTACAAAATATTTACTGTCTGTAGGTTAATCGAGGAGGTTATTCCAAATTTTTTGGGATTTTCTCTCCTCGTTTCTATGAAATAAAAATATGAATATTATTTCAATACGTGTAGTAAGGACGAATCAGATGATTTGCCCCAAAATGTCACTGCGTTTAAAGAATTTTCCTATCAGAGAGCCTACAAGAAAAATTCACTAGCTTGTCAGTGACAATTTGTATTGAAATAAGTTTGGAGAAGAGGAATAAAGGAATATAGAAAAAATATCAAATTTCCACTTATCTTTGGACGTTCCGGGACCGATTCTGCTCCCGTTTTCAACATAAGAAAAGATTATTTGAATGGCAAAGTCGTATCTGTCTTGAAGCTTTTCAGTTTTCATTGACAATTGACAATTGGTGACGTTGGCAATCAAATGAGTTACAGGATGTTTTCATTAATTAATCTTGAATTTACCATGTTCTGTCTATATCAACTGAACAAGAAGCAATGCTATTGTCTCCGTTCAGAAGAATGCAAGCAGATTCCTTGATTTTTCTCTTCTGGTTGTTATCATCGCATCCAATGATTTTAGTATTATTCCACTCTGCCATATTATTATGTTGTCCGTCTTCAGTAAGGATCCCAGGTAGCACAGTGACGTCCAATTGACGTCATTTTTTGGTCACAAATTGACGAAGTGGACGTCCAAAAATGACGTCTGAGAGACCCTATAATGACGTCAAAATGTCACAGCCATATGACGTCATATTTAGACGTCATAATGACGTCGCAGAATGACCAATAAAGGACGAAATAAAAAAAATTAGGAGGTTTATATATTATATACGGTATTATTGGTACATAATTACACCACAAACCTTTGATGACATTCATTTTGTAACTATACGTTGTGGTCACTTGGTTGATGGTCCTCCCGGGCAGTCCTGTTGAATCCTAGCACTATCACTACTACCTATGAATCTCTATATGACAATGTCGCTAGCAACTCGTACTTGTACCTAAAATTATGTAGCGAGCGTCGGCGAGATGTAAGCTGAATAAACGCATTTTTATCTAAACTATCCATTTCTGAGAAATCCTCTGCAACACATCGATTTTATTTCCGATTTGCCACATTTGAAAGTAAGAATCATATATATACAGGGTGATCCACGTTTAAGTTGAGACGTCCGCGGCAATTTTTTCAATTAGAAACAATAATAACCTATATAAGATACATTCAATTCTTGAAATATTCATGGAAATGTGAATTTAAAAATATATTTCATAGTGTTTGTATACAGTGTGTCCGTTAAATTGAGTGATCTCGCGTGAAGTAAATAAAGTAGCCAATCAATGTAATTATAACCATACAATTCCTTTCTGAGGAATCTCCCAAAATAGTTTATTCTAAATTAATTACCAACATTATTGAGGAAAAATTGAACATACAGGGTGATTCAAAAGTTTGAGTTACAACGTCCGCGACCATTTTTTCAAAGGAACACCCTATATGAATTATACGATTTTTGGAGTCTCTATGGAAAGCTGGATTCAAAAATATATGAGTTTGTATACAGTGCGTTCGTTGAATAAAGTTCTTTTGTGAAGTTGCGAATAAATTCGTTGAGATTTAAAAAAATATTTTTCTTGAGAGAATAACGTTCGAAGCCGTAGAATTTTATTTTCATTGAAGCTTTATCTCATATTAAATCAATATATACAGAATGATTCGTGTAGGAGAAATTACGTCAACTTTATTTTTTAATGGCGATCCAATTTTACGAGAGAACTGAATTTAACGAACGCCCTGTATACAAACCCTTTGTGTGATATACACTTGATTACGAAAATTCAATAATATATATCCGTTTGAAAAATGTGTCGTGTACGTCATAATACAAAAGTGCATCATCCTGTATATTTGATGATATTTCTCGTTATAAATGTGTCAAATTAGAAATAAAAGCCTCTCCTGTTTTCTCAGAAATATATAAGGTAGATAGATATTGGATAATAAATGAATTTATCCACTACTTCACGAGAGCATCTAATTTATTGGACGCACTTACCTATACAATCCACATGATTGTGTTAAACATTTTCGAATTCCGCTTCCCATGGTTATTCCAATGATTGAGTGATATATATAGGGTGCTATATTTAAAAAAATGTCGTGATGGTCATAACTCAAACGTGGATCACCATGTATTTATATTCTATTTTTCTCATAAATATGGCAAATTGAAAATGAAAATCGACCGTTTTCAGCAGATTCCTGCTCAAAAATGCATAATTTGGCTAAATATAAATTTGTTCATCAGTACTTACGAAAACACTGTATATTCAAACACAAATTTAGTACGTACAATTAACAAACGATGAAAAGGTAAGAAAGCGACTGATTTTTTTCATTTGGTCAAATATACGGCTTTGTAGGGACGTCATTAAGACGTCCAATATTGAACGTCAATAAGACGTCATGAAATATGACGTCATTTTTTGGTCCCTCTGAAGTCGAGGACGTCATTGACCAATAATGAACTAAAAAATACGTCATTATGACGTCATTTCACTAACCTGTGCTACCTGGGATATGTTCAGCTATAGTTTCGATTTATCGATGTGTCTTTTCTTTATATTGTACTTATGTTCCTTCGTACTTACTGAAAGCGGTCTCTTGGTTTCACCGGTATAAAACTTTCCACAAACACAAGGTATATTGTGAATACAATTTTTTGGCGATTGTTCTTCATTTTTCGGCTTTGTTTGAGTTTGTTTGTGTTCAAAACTGAAAATACAATGAGATCAATTCTAACTCAGACAAAGCCGAAAAATGAAGAACAATCGTCAAAAAATTGTATTTACAGTATACCTTGTGTTTGTGGAAAGTATTATACAGGTGAAACCAAGAGACCGCTTTCAGTAAGGACGAATGAACATAACATAAGTACATATAAAGAAAAGACACATCGATAAATCGAAACTAGCTGAACATATCCTTACTATTCCTTACTGAAGACGGACAACATATGGCAGAGTGGAATGATATTAAAATCATTGGAAAAGATTATTACAACCAGAAAAGAAAAATCAAGGAATCTGCTTGCATTCTTCTGAACGGAGACAATAGCATTGCTATTAAAATAATCTTTTCATATGTTGAAAACGGGAGCAGAATCGGTTCTGAAACGTCCAAAGATATAAGTGAAAATTTGATATTTTTTCTATATACCTTTATTTCTCTTCTCCAAACTTTTCTCAATACAAATTGTCACTGACAAGCTAGTGAATTTTTCTTTTAGGCTCTCTGATAGGAAAATTCTTTAAACGCAGTGACATTTTGGGGCAAATCATCTGATTTGTCCTTACTACACGTATATTGAAATAATATTCATATTTTCATTTTATAGGAACGAGGAGAGAAAATCCCAAAAAATTTGGAATAATGTACGAAATATTTATTTTCATTGAATAAAAATTGAATGAAGTTCTTACAGTTAGGTGTAACAAATTCTGAAATCCACAGTTATCCTACTAGGGCTTCAAATGATCTCAGACCCCTCAAATACAGACTATATCATAGTCTTTTCAGCGAAACTCCTTGCAAATACACTTACCCCTGATTTATAGATTCAATAACGCTAATGATCGGAGGTACGTCGAAAATATATATTACATCCAGTTACGTCCATTGGTGACAACATGAACAATACTAAAACAAGTCGGAATATGCACTTGACCATAGATCTAAATACATCTGTATTTAGATCTATGATCGGAGGTACGTCGAAAATATATATTACATCCAGTTACGTCCATTGGTGACAACATGAACAATACTAAAACAAGTCGGAATATGCATTTGACCATAGATCTAAATACATCTGTATCTAGATCTATGACTGAATTTCGCATGTTTTTCAGTTACGCCTATTGGAAACAGGGGCGACGAATTTTGTTGTTGCTGTGTATACATACATATATTTTAGTATAAACAGGCTGTATCAAACTATCAAAGCTGAAATCTTCATAGACATTTGGGAAACAAATGGTATAACGCGTAGCCTTATAAAAATCCCGGAATAATAAACACAATGTGTTCTGAATGTCACCAACCGCTTTATGAAATTTATTTTAATATATATTTTATATATGGTTTCCACATAGTTCACATATTCCTCTAGGTACTATAGAAAATAATGTCATCATTATGATACTGCACAGTTAGAAAGGATACTGTGATGAGGAACAATCTCGAATTTCTAGAGGTAGCAAATCTTTCCGATGTTTATATATTCACCGAATTTTATTAACTTCATCGTTTACATCTTCCGAGAGCAATGAAGTTATTTTCGTCAACAGGATCTATTCAAATAAACGAGGGTGTAAGGTATGTCTATATCAGACAAACATATCTATCTCAATTTTAGTCAAAAGGAACTGAATATATCATTATTGTCTCCAGTTTTTGTGTTGAAATTATGTTTCTTGTTCTGAAGGAAGGGCTTCGACTATAACATATAAATATGGTTTGGCACGATTCACTGTTGCGTTCAAATGAACAGTCCTACCCCTAAGGTGGCGCATGGAGTTAGTAACAAAGCCTAGACAAAACTATGTAGGTTTAATGTTCTGATAATGTCTGAACATGACACTTAAAAGAGATGTAAAATGTCCAAAAATTCAACTGTTTTTCCAAAGTATACTCTGTTATTGATGTAGGATTTCAACATTTTTATTACAGATGGTGGAAGTACTGCAGGTGGCGACGATGCCACGTTTTGGTCCAACAGTCCTTCCAGATCCGAATCTCCTTCACCGAATACCCTTCAAAATTCCATTGCTGGCACATACGAAATATACGCACAAGTGGGAAGTTCAACACCGAATAGATACTCTACATATCGTACTGGTAAGTACTCGAATATGTTAAGCAGAAGAAATTTCAAAATTCTATTGATTTTATATGAAAAACAAATTCCGGGATTCCTAACATACGAATAAGTATACCCGTAGAAATGAATATTCCAATGATTTATGTAAGATAAAGATATGAAATCATCATCTTTCTCGTTCCGAATAGCATCCTGTATTTTTTTCAGTCATTGGATTCTACTTTCCAGCGATGTATATAACACTTTGTTTTTTTCATTTGAGATGATAGGGAATACGTAATATAAAATGTCAAATTATAAGAATTGCAGTGTGGTACGAAACTATTCATTATATCGAATAAAATTCAAAAAGTGAAAAAAACTATACCAGATATCTTCTGCAATGACAAAGTCTCTTATTCCGGTTTGAACCAAATCTGCTTCATTTCAAATTTTTATTATTAGGAATGAATGAGATATTCCAATGAAACAAGTATATTTTTATTGAAACTGAGACACAAGATAGTATGTATTTCTTCATTTGTTCCAGCCTATTCGACAATAAATTCAGAATCCGACGTTTCGAATCATCATCTACACTCTGCAGGACCATTCGTTCGTGTGGTCAAAAGACGAACGACAGCCAACAAGAAGGAAAGAAGAAGAACGCATTCGATCAACAACGCCTTCTTCTTCCTGAGGAACTGTATCCCCAATGTACCAGCGGATACCAAACTATCAAAAGTGAGTTTATATTCCCGAAAGAATGATTTTATCGTAATCAACTTTGGTGGAACAATTCATTTCTCACAGCGGAGAGGTTAGTCGAAACGAAACATATTTGTTCGTATTTTTCGGATCAGATGAAACGGAATTCAGAATAAGTTCGTGTCCCAACCAAAGAGTGGTTTTCTGATTTTTTGGTTTCAGCACTCATATATAGAGATGAAGAATCCGGAAAATTCATTCGTGCTTCGCTACGATTCCCTGAAAAATTTAGTATGTATACAGGGTGATTGTTTATATTTTACTCAATAGCTATCTCAGCTAATATTGGTCTTACAAAAACGTTCACATGGATGGACATTCAGAATTTAGTATACTAGAAAATGCAAAAAATCATCGTAAACCTAAACATTTCACATAAACTGGTGTTTTTTGAATTTTATTTTTCTAAACTTTGTATTGCTCTTTCTTCCGATTTCAAATATGTAGGGTGATTCAGGTTTTAAGTCACAAACTGAAATGTAGATCCCCTACTGATCGAGATCGGACACATGTTTATATGAACTTTTTTAATTGAAATGATGTGATCTATACCCCATTTCTGTTTGTACCTCAAAACCTGAATCACCCTGTTCATACTTAATTGAGGTTATCTTTGTTAGTTTATCAACATTAATCTTCATTAGGTATTGAAAATTACACACTTGTTCACAGTATCGTTTCTTTTTTACGAATTTCCTTGATAGGGCGCCGCTTCACAGAAGATGGAGACGTTCAGTACGCTGAGCTTAGAGTATCTAAACAATAGGCGAGTAGACTAATCACTCAAATACCTTTCAATTTTTTTTTTCAATTTTTCGGTCGATTTCAAGGTGCTAAAATCATCAATAATGCCACGGTAATTTTCAAACGGCTAGAAATTTACGGCGAGAACTTCAGCTTTATTATTGTTATTCAATAATTCATAAATTCTCAATTATGTTTTGTAATATTTCTAATTATCGATAAAAAAACAATTGTCTTAAAATTTCTCCTCATGTGTTGTGGCTTATTGCTTTTATATTTGTGTAAATAATAATTATTATATTAATTCACACTAGAGGACATTTGAACCGGAGAACGTGAAAACACAGCACACGAATTGTGGGCGGTGTCTTGTCAGTTCTCAGCATTCAGTACATTGTTGACAAGTCTTCAACATTTACATGGAGTATAAGAAATATTTGGACATGCTGGTTGCTCGAAAAAGTCAAAAATGAACTATGATATCATGGCTTCCTCCTATTATGTTTCATCTCGTGTTTTATTCAACGACAGGACTCTGATATCTTCTTGATAACTTGATCATAATTGGTACCGAAACAGCATTAAAACTGATGTCACCATTTAGTCAACGTTTCGCCAAATGGCGGCCTTGACGGTGCGCTTGAAATGAGCTCTGAAATTCAACAATTTTGAACAACGCATATATAGACTCATAATTTACATAAAAAAAGCGTGAGAAGTGATACAAAAATTGATCTAGGTCCCTAACGACACAGTGCAGTAATTGAATGCCAATAATTCATTATCAGTCCACTTTCCCATTGGGTTTTACAGATTGCAGAGCGCTTGGGATTCCGTTTTCAAATTGACAGTAAGTTGATGATCGCAACATTTATACAGGGTGATTCACATAACAACCGACATAGGGCAGGGGTATGTAGGGGGTCCCAAAATATGGCAATTTGACGCAACTCAAACAACAATTACTTAATTGAACAGCTCACTTGCCTCATTGTCAAGTTTGACGTTTATTTTCATAGCCAACTTTTGAATTTTCGATGATTTTAAATAACACACCTAGAGCGCGCGTTTTCAGTTATTCGAGTTTTTGATGAAAATGATGAGGTTTTTCGAAAAATTACTAGAGTAATAAAAGTTTTAGAATCGAATTGCCCACAAAACAAAGCAAAGATTTTTGAAATCCATCAAGTGTTAACAAAATTATGTTGAATATTAATGGTGCGCCACCCGGTAAAGCCCCTTTACAAATTTCAAATGAACTCTAGTTAATGTCAAGTAACGCCCTAAATACATTCAAAAAGTGTACCAAATTTGGTTGCTTTAAGTTCAAGAATAACGGAGATATTGATTTTTTTCCAAATTTATAACTTCACTTTCAACGCCTATATCTCCTTAGGGAAGCAACTTGGTATAGAGGTTAGTTGCATTAAATTGCCATATTTTGGGACCCCCTACATGCCCCTGCTCTATGTCGGTTCTTATTTGAATCACCCTGTATTGTGCTCTGGGCTCAGATTCTTTCCGTCGGTCATCTTTGACGAGCCAGACTATACCTATTCACGAGTTATTTCCACTGGGTGAATTCGATTCGTTTTGCTTCAGATCAAAACCCTCAGGCTGGCAACCTCGTACATTTCCTATCTGACGAGAGCGTTGGAAAGCGACGACACAGTCGGAGGTTTCAAGGCGGAACTGGCGACTATCTCCAGGAAGTCCAGCAGTCATCCCGTCCGAGCGGAAGACGGTGGTCAACTTTCTCCTGGAAGTGTCACGACGGTGAGCCCTAATTTTTTTTTCGATTCGATTCTCTTAACATAGATGTATAGAAAGTCATATGGTGTAATCACTTCCTATTGAAAGGAGTTTCGAAATCTCTCGATATCGTCTACTTTGTAAAAATAGCGAGGCGTGGGAGAATCTTGCTAAATTTTCGAAGTTTCAAACCAAATTTACAGGCATCATGACACATACATATTTTTTTATGTAAATGGAAACGGTGCGTTATATTTTCGACTTTCAATGGTGAATTCATGAACGACACGAAGTCCTTACTCATGAAAATTCTGTGATAATAGTTTATTCACTCACTTCTGGTACATAAAATAAATCGAATGTTCGGATTTTCAAATAATCCTCACACATTTTAGCAGTCAGTCCATGATGAAAGCACAATACACTCACTCAACTTATAATATAATATCAATACCTTCTTGATAAACTACTAATGCTCTTATTTTATAATATTTCTATTTGAAATTGTAACAGAATTTTGAATAATTATGCTGGAAACATGACACTCGTGACAGATATATGTCATCAAGATGTTTCCACACGGATTATTTGTTGCGCACTGTCTCTCCTGCGTCCTGTGTCTAGATGCTTCTTATCAACTATTATTGAATTCGTGCATCATCAACGGGACTCTTCAGGTCCCGAAAGAAAAAGAACACATCATTGAAAGTCTAGTTCAACTTCATAATAAGAATCGAAACGCATTTTGAAATTTTTCAAGAAATTGTCCATCGTTCACGCCATCTATCGTCGAATATGAGAACCCTACGTTCCGAACTCGCATTCAATTGTTCATATCGAGAGCTAGTCTGACGAAACAATTGAAGAGTGGGCACACCAGAGGAATTATAAACATCTCACTCGTAACAATGTGGAAGTTTCCTTCAGATGAATTTTGATAAGATAAGTTCAGTCGTACTACTCAGTTGTATCTCTAAGCTGTCAGGGCCGGATTAACCACAGGGCATGAGGGGCAACTGCCCAGGGGCGAATTCAGAATCGGGGGCGAATATTTTGCCAATAAATATCAGCAGAGAATAACTAGTGATCAAGGATTTTATTCCTTATACGATTACGATAAGGAAAATATAAATATCTATATTTGTGTGTATATATTTTCATGTTGCTTACTATTTTATTACTCAACAGCCTCTGATTGTTATTATATTAATCACTTCATGTGTATGTATAAAACATGATTTTTCATCTTTTTTTTGTCGACTTTTCCTCGGACTTTTGAATATTCTATTCTATTCTACACTATAAAATTAATGAAGATCATGATTAGTAACCAAATTCTGAGATCGATTTTAGAAATACAGGTTTCGATCGATATATCAAAATCATCAGGACCAAGCGACATTTTCATCTTAAACATATCCAACATGATTTGCTAATCAGTCTTGATAAACGATATATTATTGAGACAATTATAGTGTTCTAGGAGAGAAAAGGGGATCAATAACATTTTTTGTCCGTTATATTTTTCATTTGCACCAGTTTCGAGTTTTCAGAAATGGTATATCTTGCTTCTGATTTTAACTTTCATTTATTTCACCAGGTGATTCACCACAAAATGTCACTGTGATTAAAAATATTTCTATCAGAGCTCCTAAACGAATAATTCAATAGAGTGTCAGTGACACCTTGTTTTATAAAATATCGAAAAAATATCAAATTTGTACTTTGATTTAGATGTTTCTAAAAAATGGAAGATATTCTTCTTCTCGAATTTGATGAAAATGGTAAATTGAAGATGAATTAATGAAATCATCATATATGTGTCAGTGTCAATATTGAAATGAGAAAACAATTCGAGTGAATTCCAAATAAGCATAATATATGACAATTGGTCCCTGTACACCCGTTTGAAGGGGTGCATTTGAAGATTATTATTATTATTATTATTATTATCTTAAAGTAAAGAAAACTGCTTGCTCACTTAACTTTTTATGCTGAATTTGAAAATGCAAAAGAAATTTGAAATCTTTATTTGCGAATGTATATTAAACTATAGAGGGCGGCCCAGGGTATTTTCAGTCCCAAATATTTTGTGTGGATATTTTTTTGCAATTTGGTCGCAAAATATGAAAATAGTTTTCTTCGTGAAAATAGATCTCTTGTTGATCATCAATGAGATACACAATTTATGAGTAAAATCATTTGCCGACCTATGTGCCTATTTTTGACTGTAGAAGCCACTGGTAGAGTATTTTACTCTACTTTCGGGATATCTTGAAGAAGTTAAAATTTCAGGCATCTAATAATTTCCAGACTATAGTAAAAATTAGGCAACTGCCAGTATAAGTTCGAGTTATAAGTCAAAATTAATTTTTGTTTCGGTTAGAGTCAAGGCTAAATCACGAGATTAGCCACCATCAGCCACTAATTTAAAGTTTATGAGTTAGTCTTCTCTATAATTAAGTTATATAATGAATGACATTTTGAAATATAAGTCAAAAGTATTCCTATACAAATCGAAATTGTCAAAAAATAAATACTAGTTTCACTACGACGCCTTCAGTCCTTTTAGATGACTATTTGTGAAATAAAAAATTACACTTCACTGATAAATGTATCCAATTCACTTTCAGTAATCAAATTGGAGCGAGAAGAGAATGATGTTTTGTCACCTCCCAACTGCTTTATTATCTATTTTCGTAGGAAATAATGACATTAGAAACGCCTCCTTTCAGAGGTTACTGTTTTTAGTCAGATCAGGACTCGATCTCGATACAATTATTCATTGAAATTAATTATGTCGGTGTTTCTTGAAATATGTTCCACTTGGTCTGTTATGTTTATATTTCATCCTTCCTTATCACACTTTTTCTAACTACACCAAAGTTGAAAGAAGTAGGTACCAATCAATAAAATCGCGTGATGAAAGGTTGGACTTTTTTTCAGATGAAACTCTTATTCATTTTACATTCTCTACGAGATCTCTTATTCTCTATGAATTCAAATATTATGTAAAACAGGAGATGACAGATCTCGTCATACTTTTTGACATATTGAATCTTCGAAGTGCAACATTCTGGCTTCGACTGCTGATATACCCGAGGTCCAATGTTAGAAAAAAATCAACATGTCAATACCCTTATAGTTGTTATATTTTAATTTAAAAAAGTAGTAGGTCTCGTAGAAAATTAGGGTATTTCAATTGAACGTCATTGTCATTCTCTTGATGAGACAAGTTTGCATTTCAAGTTATATGACGAAAATAAGATGGATGGACTACAACTTATCAATTTTACTTTTCTTGCTAACACCTCAACGAAAAATATATGCATAACTAGGGGTCAAAACGAAAAGCGGATACCCCTCTCACCCCTCTCTATGTAATAGTTTGAGGAATGAACGCTAATGGTAATTATTCCAGATTTTTTGGGATTTCCTCTCATCGTTTCTATAAAATAAAAATATGAATATAATTTCAATATACGTGTAGTGAGGACAGATCAGATGATTTGCCCCAAAATGTCACTGCGTTTAAAGAATTTTCCTATCAGAGAGCCTAAAAGAAAAATTCACCAGCTTGTCAGCGACAATTTGTTTTGAAAAAGGTTTGGAGAAGAGAAATAAAGGTATATAAAAAAAATCAAATTTTCACTTAGCTCTGGACGTTTCGGCTTAGTTTGGAGATATATCAAATATTCTCTAAACTGTGGTTTCAGGAACGAATCTGTTCCAGTTTTCACCATAAAAAATTGATAATCGGTGACATTGGCAATCAAATGAACTACAGGATGGTGTTTCAAGTGAAAATTTGGGTATATATAGGCTTCTTAAGTAGCTTCAAAATCCGATAAATGTATTATATAGTTTCACAATTTTGGACATTTCCGAAAAAAATTAGGATAACTCAGTTGCGTTCCATTTGTGGATTCAGTGAATGATGAAAGTGAAATTTGAAAATTTGGAAGAATTCAAACTTAGTGGTTGGTTCTATCTAGGTGTTTATCGATCTGGAGCCGGTCCTGTATTAACATTTGCCAGACCACAAAGACCCAAATGATTATTTGTGTGTAGGGGTGCGATTCGAGGGGTATTTACAATGCCAGGCTCCATTATAATTCTTTCAATAATTAGATTTCGCTATACTTAGCGGCAGAGTGTTTTGACTTGCTGAATATCAAATTGAGATGACTTATCGGCAATTACGATATTCACAATGAGCAATAAATTCTATTTTCCCCTGGTCACACAAGCAAAAAAGGATTTTCTGAGAATTGACTTTGTGGGCTATTTCAACAGGAAGTGGTCATATCAATCATGATCGATTTATTTGAAAAGAAGTTTTAGTACCTATACCTAGGCCTAGGCCTACCTATACTAGGATGCCAGTGAACGCTGAAAGTTATTTGGCTTCATAAATATGCTGGTGAGCCGTTTTAAAGGCAGTTAAAATGGCCATTAACTTCAATGCTTCAATGAAGAAAAATATCAAACAAAATATATAGGTATTAATGTTGACTAATGGTACAGTTAAGTCAATAAATCGTCAATAAAATGCTTTTATAGTTTTCTGTGATTTTTGTTTATGCCTAAATATGACATAATTATTTCGGAAGTAAAAAAGTTGTGAACAGAGTCATTCACGACCAGCTTCAGACGAAATCACACTTGAAAGAGGTAATTGAGAATATGAACTTGATGACAAAAATTTCTATGGATTGATTGAAGTTCCAGTTCTCGAAAATATACCGTGCAGGGTGATCGGAGTTTCGATGATTGATTTGTCATGGTCATAACACGAATTTGTTCTCAGGTAGAATTGTTATTACCTATTCCCAAACATTTTTGGATTCTTATGAAAAGAGCTGTCAACTTTAGGTAGAATGCCCTATAATCATCTAAAATGCACCCCTATAGTGAAGATATATCCAATTTTGAAATATATTGAACTATTAAACATCATTCAAGACAATATAAATCTGGACCAGCAGCAATGTTTGGATCTTTGATTATCTGGCAGACTGTTTGAATATCAGAATCTCTAATTTACCTTAGAGTGAATGTGTTGAGGTGTCTATAGGAGTCCAGCTAGTTCATCAGAAGTGAACATTTCGAAAAATATAACATATATACGTATACAGGGTGAGTCATAACTATTGGAACATGGGCTGAGGGCAGATTATATGTGATATAGGATATGGCAATGGGACCAATAAAATATTGCTGTGGAAGAAGATACAGGGCACTATGTATATTTATCAATTATTGTAATCAAAATCGGCACAGAGGCAATATTAAAAAAAATATTATTTTATGTATAATTCTACAGTTTGTTACAATAAGAGTCGCCACGTGAATCGTGAATGATTTCTGATTATGAAATCGACTGGTATTTTTTTTATGAATTTTGAGTGGCTTCGATTAAAATTAAACGAACAATCCACCCTTAGCCTATGTCTCAATAGTTTATTACTCACCCTGTATACCTGTATACCTGTATAATAGTTACAAAGAAACACCCCTGTTCTAAAGGAAAAATACTTGCTTGCCAAGTTATCAGAAGCAGAAATGTCGAGCTGTCTAGATAGATATATATCCGAATTCAGAAGCGAAGAAACGCAGTTGATTATACAGGGTGTCCCAGAATAACGTTCGTATATCTTTGTAGCCATTGATCCTAAAATCATGAAATTTGGTACCTGAGGGTAATTCGTTTCGTGGTTCAAAAAATATGATTTAATATACAGGGAGGTGTTTTTCTTATTTCAAGATGTATCTCATTTCAACTAACAGACTATGACTCTTCAGAAATTTTTACATGAAAAAGGTATTCATGTTAGAATGCTGTAAAGTGAACCGTTTTCGCGAAAATGTTCATTATTCATTTTGATGTCCAAAAAAATATACCTTGTGGAAAAGTTTGTGAAATATAGTCAGTTTCCATTGCGGATATTTTATCAACAAATCACAACACAATTAACTCTAATTTAACAAAACTAACTGAAAATGTAAAATTTCAGATATTTTTCGGACATAAAATTTAAAATGGCACTTTTCTCGAAAACGGTTTGTTTTACGGCATTCTGACAAGAATACCTTTTTCATGTAAAAGCGTTTGAAAAATTATATTATGATAGTAAAAATGAGATAAATCTGGAAACAAAAAAACTTGGGGTAGGTTTATATAGCATCGGTTACAAGATTACCTTTCATTACATTAAAGCATATGTTTTCTGTAGTACGAAACGATTTGTAAGATTCAATCACCCTTAGGTACTAAATTTCGTGATTATAAGATCACTAATAACGAAGATAATTTAAAGAATTCACAACAATAAATCGTCATATGATGCGGTGGTAAGTTCTACCCTTGTTCTACTCACCAAAACAACAATTCAGACTTCCCATTCCACCGACGAGCTCAACTAAAAAGTCATTCATTTATAATGCTGTCAAATTATATAACCATCTTCCAGTCGATTTCAAAAATATTGTCTCCAATTCATTTTAGGAGATCTGTGAAACAACATCTCATCAAAGAAACATATTATTGTGTTCAAGAATATCTAGCTAAAGATTGGAATAATTCAAGTTGATTTTTTTATGACATGATAGCTCCTGACTGAATACTCTTATTCATTTGGGTTTATGTTATCAATTTAGTACATACACCTTCAATCCGTATTGATACTGTCTCTTTTATTTCTTCTATTATTATTTTTTCATTAGTATGGGTATGATTGTAGCATCGCACTTTCTTGCTATAGACACTGTGATATTAGGTATATTTTATTCATTATGTATGCATGTACGTATGACTTTGTCAATGAGTTTTTTTTTCTTCAGACAAAAAAGTATATTTTGATTGATTGATTGATTGAAGAAAACTGCATTCAAGGACCTACCTTCGAAGGGTTCTATAGTGTTCTTAGGAATCATTTTCGGACACATGTTGATAAGAACATTTTTTCTTATCTTCATGTGCAGAATAATTACCTCCCGGAGAATACGAAGTTATTCTGGGACACCCTGTATATAACAGAAGTACAGTTTTTCACTAACATCCCGTATGTCATCCTGTCCTACGTTCCTGTCCATAATTTTGTCATCACTGGAATCAGCCAACTTCCTCACCGTTTATTAACAAAGTCGAGTTTTGACGATGTTTCAACATTGTCCCTCAGTAGGAAAAGAGTTGTTTATGAATTTTATTATAAACAGGAAGATATGGGCAATGCGAGGAAGGCGAAAGGACGCACAGGTTGGCCGCAGCACGTGTGGGCGTTAGAACTCAAACAGGAGCAGGCGCTTTGAACCAGTGGCGGCGTCATAAAAAAATTTCGTCGCGAAGTTGTGATTCAAATGTATGGAGAGAATTGGGACTTATCGGAAGATTAGCTACTCGAGTGTTGCCTGCCTAATATTTTTTTTTTGTACAAAAAAATCAAACCTTCGCAAAACTTATTTTTACAGAGTGGGCCAAAATGGTCACTTATTAAGGGAAAGTCCTCTGCTCCAACTGAAGTGGTCAAAGAAACAAGTGGACCACTGAAATTTTCGACAATTTTCAAACTGTCATAACTTTTTGAAAAATTAATGGATTTTCGATCGGAATGCAGTACTCGGAAGATTCGATCTTCCTGTTCAAGATTCCTCGTTCAAAACTCGTCGGGAGTTTTTCTGTCATTATATACACCAAGTGTTCGAAAAAAAGTATCACAAAAATGAAAAAATTCAAACGCTTCCGTATGCCAGGGAATTTTTTTTTCAATTAAGCGTTTTTTCAGAACGTTCAAGCCAATATCTCGAAACGGTTTTGTAATTTTCCATATTCCTCATACAGGATGTTGAAAATCGATGATTTTTTGTTTTTTATCGCATCATTTCCGATTTTAAAAACACATCCTAGAAAATGGATTCATATTGCGTTGAAATCATCGACAACTTCAACAGAAGAAGAATTAATGTTCTTTTAGAAATCTTCAGAATGTGTTCCATTGTAAAGAGTGGCAAAATATGTTGAATGTGGCTTGCATAATTTTAAAATCGGAAATGATGCGATAAAAATCTAAAAATGGAAAATCATCGATTTTCAACATCCTGTATGAGGAATATGGAAAATTACAAAACTGTTTCGAGATATTGGCTTGAACGTTCGGAAATAACGCTTAATAGAAAAATAAAAAAAATTCCTTGCATACGGAAGCGTTTGAATTTTTTCATTTTTGTAATACTTTTTTCGAACACTTGGTGTATAATGACAGAAAAACTCCCGACGAATTTTGAACGAGGAATCTTGAACAGGAAGATCGTATCTTCTGAGCACTGCATTCCGATTAAAAATCCATTCATATTCTAAATAGATATGACAGTTTGAGAGTTGTCAAATATTTCAGTGTTCCACTTGTTTCTTTGAGCACTTTAAATAGAAGAAACTGATGTCGCTGCCAGTCAAGGTGTTCATCGGAAATGGGCATTTTGAAAAGTGGCTACAAATATTTTTTTGGCAAAAATTGTATGTTCTCATGACAATAACTGCAAAGCATTGGGTTTGTGATAACAATTATTATTCGTGAGGCACTGGAATCGGCCTTCCTATATCTTGTTCAAGAATATAACTTGTTCTTCTAGAAGGAAAAGTTCTATTTTGGAACTAGGTATATGGTGACTGATTTCAGTGCCTGAGGATCAATTTTCATGACGAACACAATGCTTTGGAAATGTTTTTATGGAAACGAAGAATTTTTGACAAAAAAATGAGTTCTAGCCACTTTTCGAAAAATTCATATTTTCGGAAAACACCTTGTAACTCTAAAACGAAGATAGATATCGATATGCAGTTTTCACCATTGAGTTTGTCATGTGAATCAGTTTTTTTCTATCTATAGTACGGAAATAGGACTTTCCCTTTAAAAGTTTCCAATTTGGCCCACCCTGTAGAAGAAGTTTGCTAGTATACTGGGTGTACTCACCCAAAATTGGGGCGATAAATGAAATGGATGATAAAGCGAAATGAAAGAATACATTTTTGGCGAAAAACAAATATTTTGGGAGATATTGAGCTTCGAAGGTTGCCTGAAGCTGTTGTAAATCATTGATCAGAGGTTTATAGCCCGACCCGAGCGTTTGCTTTCGGCGAGATCGCAAGCACAGGAAGTATCAATGAATTTTGCAATGTTGCCTGAAGTTCAATAATATTTGACAGATGTAGTATGGTGAGAGCGCACATTTTTAGGAAAGATTTCAGAACAATTTATTCTTGTGATTTATCGTGTCTCATTTTATTAATCGCCTCAATTTCGGAAACATCCGGTCTACACTGAAGATAAGAATGTGTAGCGACCTTCCTAATTGTTATTGAGGATTTTGGATTTTTCGTTCCAGTATTTGTCGATTTTTATAGCTTCTTCAGTTCTTCAGTGTCTGTTTTACTCAAAAACAAAAAAAATCATAAGAGTATATACTTACGAAGAGTTTGAAAGCGAATCAATACACTATTAGAATAGCTAATCCTTGGTAAATTCAAATTCTGTTATGGGTATACAGAGATGCTTTTTTTTCATAAAAAAATAAAGTATATGGTTTACTTAGCGCATTTTAAGTCGAAAAGATATAATATGAACATATATGCCCCAAACCTCTCAACTTTCGAGCTATAGGGTGTTGAAATTTTATTATCTCTTTGTTGTTCAAATTAATTTTAACAATGAAAAAAGCTGTCACGTTCATGAATTAATACTGGTCAGAATAATACCGCGATGTAATCGATCAAATGTAATTATTTCAAATACAAAATAGGGCACTAGCCTACTAGTTTAATATAATTTCGTTATGCCGCACAAATGCAAGAAAATTGTATTTATTTTCTTACGCGAAAACGGTTTGTCGGATGGAAAAAATCAGGAAGTCAAATTATTGCAAAATAAATGAGGATTTCAAAAGTGTTTTTTTCAAGCAAGGGCCTACAATATTTTTTATTATAAAAATCTCCAGTATAAATCCGATACAGACGCCACCGGTAGAAATATTAAAAAATCTCCTGCATCAAAAAATGCCTATCAGTACTTGGTAGGTGCATGTCAAATTTCATGAAAATATCGAGGAGTTATGATGAGAAAACGATTTCTTCTTAAAATTTCAACACCCTCTATAGCTCGATAATGAAGAGGTTTATTATATGTTCATCCAAAAATCCTCGGTACGTATTTATATACCGGGTGACAACGAAATCATTGGCCAGGGAGTCATTCAGTTGTTTTTAATGTTGGGCTTTTGATATTTGGAATGAGAAAGATATACTTCTATAGTTCCTTGAAACCCATATTTTCCTTGAAAAAGTCAATTGAATTTCACTTCTAGTTTCTCGACCTACGTCTGTTTCCGGTAAAACAGGAAGTGAATTTAATAGGTTTTTGCATAGAAAATATCGATTTTAAGGAACTAAATCCTCGATCCCAATGTCAAAGGTCTAACATGAAAAAAACAACTGAAAGACTCCCTGTCCAATGATGCCATCCCGGTAAATATGCAAATCTTTTTTGAGGCTTCTCTGTATGCCTATATGCCTTACAGAAATTTTTGTATATTGTATTTGTTTTGATGATATTTAGTTGAATCTAAAGTAATTTCATTAGTACAATTTTTCACCGGCCTGTGTATAATATATATCTATTTTAGTCATTGAACGCCAGATGGCCCCTGTGTATACATTTAGTACACCTTAAGAGTTTTATATATTACAATTATAGTTGGTTTATAGTCAGATATTTACATTACGATTGTGTTTATGTTTTAGAGTTTGTATTTATAAATAGGTATATTGGATATTCTTGTGCGTTCATGAATGCGGCGTGGTTTTCACCTTTCCTTCAAAATGCAATAAAATTGATACATACATACTCCTGTCTTTCATATTTATTGCGCTGAAATGAAGTGATCAAAGTCGACGAATTTTCAGAAATTGTATATAGGTATCTACACATACTGGCACAATTAGGGGAACGGGTAAAATTTACACTAAGTTTGACATCAATTTTCTCTCGAACGGATCTCTCGATTCAAATTTGTTTCTCACGAATTGTAGCTCCATTCTTCACGAATACATCTGAGAAATAACCACCTCCAAACGATTCGTCTTTATATCATATACAGGGGTGTGAAGAAAGTACGGACTTTTCGGTATTCTTTAAGACATCCTGTGGAGTGAACCACTGATAATTGAAACGATTTCTCAACACCAAATTATAGCCCAATCTATCCCGAATATTTTCGTTTTTTATTCATCTCGATATCCTGATTATCCAAGAAAATACAGAGTTTCAAAGAAGAGGTGGATATTGGTATTAATTTTACCACCTCGAAACTCGAACTGGGGAGAACGTGTCGTTTTTCAACTTGTTTCTGTGAGGATTTTTACTTCAAGATGAGAATTGTTCACAGTTTTACCTATCGTTTACTGCTTAAAGACACATATACGAATACTCTCATGAATATCCAGGGGTGATAAAAGTTGCTCCAATTTTCTTTTGGTGAAATGCTATTTTTGTTAATCAACGTTGGCTATTTTGTATATGTCTCTTTCACAATTCATGAATTTGATTGATGAAAATTCAACATGAGAGATTTGACTCCTACTGATGTGGCGAGGGCTGTAGCATTAATTGAAAATGACCAGTGGGCCAATGTTCTTTTAACATATGAGAGCCGCATCAATTCAATAGATGGCAGGAAAAGACTATATCGCCGAGGTGAACAAAATGAACCATGCATTTGATTTTACTGCTTCTGTCTCCTATGGCAGAGGTTTAGTCATGGTTAGGTTAGGTTAGTCAAGAAACGACACATTTTCAGATCCAATTTGAGTTTCGAGGTGGTAAAATTGATACCTTTCCTAAAACTCTGTATTTTCTTGAATAATTGGGATATCAAGATGAATAAAAAACGAAAATATTCGAAATAGATTAGGCTCCAATTTGATGTTGAAAAATCGTTTCAATTATCAGTGGTTCAGTCCACAGGATGTCTCAAAAAATACCGAAAAATCCGTACTTTCTTTACACCCCTGTATATGATAGAAAGACTCACCGTGTGAAGGTAATTATCTCTTAGATGTATTCGCGAAGAATGAAGCTACAATTCGTGAAGAAAAAAATTGGAATCGAGCGATCGGTTCGAAAGAAAATTGATGTCAAACTTAGTGTAAATTTTGCCCGTTCCCCTAATGGGGAAGACCACTGAGGGAAGAAATCCGTGCAAACCTCTTTCAATCGACGAATCATGATTTACGTTTGATCTACAATCAATATTATGAGTTGAAGTTGAAGGGAATCGAATCTATATCGTTTTGAAATCAGCATATTCCATTCGTTATTTCGAAAAGTCAAATATGATGGTGGAGCTGTGACGTATTAGTCCCGCACTGTAGCTATCTCTCTCTGATACCTCGTCATTCTGCAGTGTTGCAGTGTGATTGATGAGTTCAAGGACAATAGGCGTGTTGGGACTAAGACGTCGCACCAGTCTCACCAATGAATTGACAAAATTTCAAATGGCGCAGGAATTGTGTGTTTAGAAATGGACATATTCTAATTTATTTTTTTCATCGTCTTAGCATGAATGAAAAAATTCAAAATTAATTCACTGGTAGTTTTTCAGTATAGTTCACGATAACGTCGTTTCAAAAAATCAGTGGTCTCCCCCATTGTGCCAGTGTGTGTATGAAGAATCAGATTATAGATAGCTAATGCTTGAATTCTGATTTCTTGCTGTAATATTTCCTAATGAAAAAATAACGAACTGTTTTATTGAGCGTAAAATGGTGTAAAACCGCAAAGTAAGTGAGTAATATGAACTAGAACCACCCACTGACACTTCAGAGCTGATTCGGAACAAAGACACATTGATTGAGCTCTGTTGGCACCGTATCACATTACAACCTATTCGTTTGCACTTGACGTTAAAATATACAACGCTCCATTTATACCAATTATCATTCTTTTCTTTCTAATTGGCTTGAAAATAATCCTTCGCTATCAATTACTGTTGAAGTGTTTATTGGATCAAAAAGAAAATGAAGACGAACCATGACGAACTAAGTAGGAGGATGATACTCGTCTGAAATCCAATGATTTATTTGAACTAAAACTTGGATCATATCATGATTATTTTCAAGAATTTTATGTCGACCTATAATACAGGTATATCTTTCTAATGGTGGGGTAAGTATACTGCTTTCGAGTATCGCTTAGAAATAATGATAGACATGGCCTCATAACCACGTCTTCTTTTTTCAGATGTTTTGGGATTTTCTCCTCGTTTCAATGTATGAAAAATGAGTATTATTTCAATATACATGCGTAGTGAGGAAAAATCATATGATTTTCGTCAAAATTACATTGCGTCTAAACATTTTCCTATCAGAGAACCTAAAAGAAGAATGCAATCGATTGTGACACTTTGTGTTGAAAAATGTTTACAATGAGAAGAAATATACAGACACCAGCAAACAGCAAACAGCAACCATCAGCGGCAAAAAAAAAGGCCACCAAAAATTGTTCGCCATGTAACATTTTCAATTCTTGTCCGATTTTTTTGAAATTTCGACCAAATCGTATATTCATGTTTCGGAATGTTAGCCTGGATATTAGGTCCTGAGAAAAGCCGATGGCTTGATACAAGGGAAAACAAAAGTTACTCTTTCACCTATATAACTTCCTAACGCGCCCTGTGGCTGACAGTTGAGTGGTTGAACTTAGCTTCATCATGTTTTGAACTGATTCCCTTCTTAACAGAATGGTTTCTGAATCACATCGATAACCACATTTTAAGAGAAGATACGAACCTAGAGAGCATCTTAGCGATGAACTCCAGAGGCTCCTTCAACGAGAATTTTAGGCAATTCTTCAAGACGACAAATTTGATCAACTCGATGCCACGGCGGTTGAGAGCTATAATTCAAACTCGAGGACTACCTTCTTGTTTGTTTTTTGTTTTCAAGGTTTCCCCCTTGAGTGCTGAGAAAATGAGGTAGAAATAAGTGATATTCTTTCTTTAAGTTGTTAATCAATAGGTTTAAGTAGGTTCTTTCTTAAAACACTCGTATCTTCTGTTGAAAATATAGTATATTGACGTGAATAAGAAACTATTGTGATCACACTTCAATCCAAAGGATAATGAAGCCAATTTGAACTACTCAATTTCGCCACAGGGCGTTAAGAAGTAAAGGGTGAATAAACAGAAACTTCGGTTTTCCCTGTATAATGATCAAGTCTTCAGATTTTCACGGAAACTTATAATCAGGCTAACATGGGGAACATGAATCTAGGATTAGATCGAAATTTCATAAAAATCGGAGGGTTAAAAAAGTTACAGGGAGACCAATTTGGGGCAAATTTTTTGGTGGCCGATTTTTTTTGCCGGTGAGTGTAGATATAAAAAATATCAAATTTTCACTTATTCCTGCTCCCATTTCCCTTTGAATTTGTTTTCAGATATCAAAGATAAGTATAAAATGTCCCTGACAATCGATTGGATTTTTGTTTTAGGCTCTCTCATGCATATTAACATTTTTAAACGCAGTAACATTTTTGGGCAAATCATCTGATTTCTCCTCAGTACAAGTATATTGAAATAATACCGTTATTTTAATAGAAACTAGGAGAAAATCTCAAAAATCTGGAGAAATGAATGTATCACCTCATCGATTAACCTACAATTCTCCCATCTCAACAAAAAATATCATGATGAAGTCTTTTAACTCAACTTTTGCTATTGGCACAATCTAGGTTCGGTGTAAAATAAGAAAATAACACCATATGTTTCGTTTTTTTCTTAGTAAACCTATAAAATAATAAATATTTCTAATGGCATATCTGTTTCAATAGACATGAGTCGATTATTTCAAATTTTTATGGATCCAAGGTAGGAACTTCTCCACTCGTGTGTATACTCCTGGATATTGACCTTTTCCACATCCAATGCCCCATGAAACAATACCAACTTGAATCCATTTACCACTGTTAACCATAAGCGGACCACCACTATCACCCTGAAATCAATAATAATGACATAAAAAACAATTCGTAGCGATCAGTAGGGTTCTTCAAATATATCGTGTTATAGTTTCGAAAATGTCTTGCTAGCGTCACAAACTTCAAAAGTGATAAAAGACCCAAAAATGCTCAACTCTGACATAGACTTATTATATTATTATTAATATGGATCATTAGGTTTTTAATCATGCTTACACTGCAAGAATCTCTGTTCGCTTGACCAGCACACAACATATGTTCAACAATGCCTCCAGGAGCTGCACCACCATATTTCCTTCCACATTCTCTGTTATTCCAAATCGGTATATTGACCTCCTGCAAAACAGCAGGCTGTGGACCACCTGAAGAAAGATAAAACACGAATTAAAATCTATCGTAAGGCTGATGGTCTGTTTACTCACTTTCTCGCAGGCTACCCCATCCTATGACCGTAGCAGTGCGTCCTGAGAAGTCTGAGGACCCTGTAGGTAAACACAAAGGTCTGACGTGTTTGCTGAAGTCGACTGGACTGTCAAGGGTCAGTATGGCAATGTCGTTGTACTGCAAAGATATACGTTAAGAAGTAATGAAGTTTTTTATTACAGCCAAATGGTTACCAGTGTTCTGGAGTCGAAGCCTCTGTGTCTGACAACTCTTTTGACTCTTTTCTCGATATGGCGGGCTTCAGAATTTATCTTGATGTTGTGATCTCCCAATCGAACTGTCAGTCTTGCTACATCCCAGGAGCTCATGCTACGAATTAAAATAGCTGAAGTTTCATGATTGAGCTCCTCTCTCATACTCCCAATTTTTTTACTACATAAACTACCCAACACTTATCGTCGCACCCCAAAATTTTTCCTCTGTTGAAATATGAATAACTTTTTTCTGCTTTTTAACGATTTGAATTCGGATCACACTGTTCGCTAGCCCATTCCTTCAGCTATAATCTCGTAATTCTTCAAAACTGAAATCGCTACAGGGTGTTACCTGAAACTGAGCAAAATTTCGGAAATTTCAAAAGTATCGCAAATGAAGAAAAACTTTTTTTTTCAACTTTGACAGTAGAGGCATGTAGATGATCCCATTATCTTGGGACAGTTCTCGAATTGTCTCCTCAACACTTTTATTCACAGAGTGATCTCGAAAAATTAACTTTCTGATTTTGCAGCAATAACTTTTTTCCTCGTCAACCGATTTTTGAAATCTCAGGCCCATTTTGAAGCATAAACTTCAGATGAAGAGATATGAATATCAGAATTGACTCAAGATGAACATTATACAGTGTGTCTCACTTTTAATGGAAGCACCCCTGTATCTTTCGTAATTGTTGAGTACGGATTCTGAAATTTGCAAGAGCGGTAGATACACTGAAAATACACACTATGACCAAGTAAAAGTCGTCTCCAGTGATATACACTGCTCGTCAAAAAAATTGAAAATCACTTCGGATTCAGAATCAGGACGTCCCTTTCGCTTCCTCCTGAAAATTTCAGAGCCCTATATCTCAATAATTACGTGAGATACGGGTTTCCATGAGAAGTGAGACAAAATTGATTTTTTCTGAACTGAAAATTTTCCAGGAATAATATGTATAGTCAGTGAATCGGACGTCCTGATTTCGAATCCGAAGTGATTTTCAACCTACCTTGGCTCCTAATAACATTTTCCGGAAATTTGGGTGGTTCCATGGCTGTTGGCGAGCAGTGTTCATCGCTGGAGATGACTCCACTTGGTCATAGTGTTTATTTCCCGTATATCTCCCGCTCCTGTAAGTTTCAGAATCCTAACTCAACAATTACGAAACATACAGGGGTGCTTCCATTTGAAGTAAGACACACTGTATAATGTTCATCTTGAGTAAAGTTTGATCTTCATATCTTTCCATCTGAAGTTTCAGCTTCAAAATGACATTTTAGAAACGGGTTGACTAGGAAAAAAGTTCTGCAAAACCAGAAAGTTGATTTTTTGACATCACTCTGTAAATAAAAGAGATAAGAAGACAATTCGAAATATGTCCCTAGGTAATGAGATCATCTTCATGCCTCTGCTGTCGATGATGAAAAAAAAAGTTTTTGTTCATTTGGGATCCTTTTGAAAATTCCGAAATACCTCACAGTTCCAGGAGACACCCTGTAGCGATTTTATATGAAGAACCTCATGTTTTAAAGAAGTACGAGATTATAGCTGAAGGACTGGGCTAGCGAACAGTGTAATCCGAATTCAAATTGTTCAAAGCAGAAAAAAGTTATTCATATTTTAACAGGAACAAAATTTTGGGGTGCGACGAAATTAGAGTTGCGTAGTTTAGATCAAATGGATCGTATATTATATGATTGAATGGTTTATTATTTAACCAATAAGTCAGTTGGATAGGAAGCTGAATATAAGACATAACTATAGCGGAAAACTCCTGAGTGAATGTACTTTCATTCCACCAGAAAATAGACCCTCTGAAAGGAAATCTTACTGTGCTACGCAGTGAGCAGCAGACAAAATGTGTATTTCATCAATCAATGACCCTCCACAGAACTGCCTTCCTCCATTGAACAGCGCTGCTATCCAAGGCCATTCGTGCACTTCAGCGTCTTGACCACCAACGATCCTCTCCTGGTCAGGGAACCCATTTTTAGCCCCACAGGACGCACTAGCAGCCCCACTAGGAGCACTGGTCGTAGGCTTACTGGTAACAGGCTTATTGGTAATAGGCTTATTGGTGGGCCTCGTTGTCACAGGCTTCACAGGCTTGACTGGCGCCACAGGCTTGGAGGTTGGAGGCCAAGCAGTCGGAGGGATGGTAGGAGGGTATCCAGGAGAAGGAGGGTGCGTGGGTAGTGGAGGGATGGTGTTGTCTGGGGAGTGAGTGGGTAATGCTGGAGGCCAGTTATTGATGAATGGGTAGTAGGGGTTTTTGAAACTTTCGTTCGTAGGACTTGAGTTTGCTTCGATGACTGGGTCTGCAGGTTCTATGAGTGGTTCTTGAGTGGTTGCTGGATTAGAGGAGTCTGATGGTTTGGTGGGGTTTGGATTCGTGCAGCATACTCCGAACATCTGGAAATGGAAGGAAGCACGCATGAGTATACTGCCATGCTAGGCTCAGAAGCGGTAACTGCATATTTTACGGAAAATTAGTTTTGAGCATTTCTGAATAGTTGTAGGGATTTAGAACTGATTTGTTATGGTATTATGGCAGTATAAATGATATACTTCGAATAAAAATACATTTCTGGGAGAGGTATATGTGTATCGTTTACTGAAATGTTTGAGCGGTATCTTCTGTAGTTACCGCTTAGGTGACTTAGTATTTCGCAGTTGCCGCGGAAACGCCTTTCGAGTACTGCGACCAAGAGTAGAAGCCGCTTATACGGTGGCAATTGAAAATACAAAAGCCAAAATAAAAGATATGGGTATTGATGATTTCTCATTATGGAAAGATCATTCTGAGAAATATAAATGTAAGGATTCAGAAAGGGTCTATTTACATGACATTGTACAGTTATCTGCAGAAAAAAGGAAATGTATTTTCAAGTTACCGATCTGATTTTGAGAAACCTGCACTACCCTTGGATTTCCTTAAGAAAAATATACTGAAATCAGGAAGAATTCCTTCACCAGAATCTGTCTTACGTCTGAGAGGAAGTTCTGAACAACGACGAGATGGTATCATCAAGTTAATTCGTTCTAATATTGATAGCAGCGGAAATAACAAAATGATTCCTGCAAACAGATTAGAATTTAGGCAAACAATTATTACACTGTCAGGCAATGATGCATCTGTTGAAGAAGAAGAGGAGAGTTTTAGTCTGTTCACTGCTCATATTATGCCCTTTTATAAAACATAAAAATCAAATTGTTTTATTTTTCAATAATATATCTGAGCAGCTATTCCTTCTTCCATTACATTATGATTAGACGAAAACCAACAGATACATCAACATTAATAATAATTACCGCTGAATGTCTTAGTGCTGCCATAGATTTTAATCTATGGTGCTGCATAGAGTTTCATCAGCATGACATAGGGGTATCTTTTGTTTCTTTCATAAATTTATATTATTTGGTTTATAAAGTCAGTGTAATTGAGACACGTTTAATAACTTATCATAAACCATCCCATATGAAGGTAATAATTTTACATGTACAAAAATAATATTATGAAGATTTGATAGTCATTTTCACAGATTATAGTTTTACTGATTCTCATCGTACCTGCCTTCCCTGTGTGGTATAATAGCTACAAGTGTCGTACATTCCCAAGACCCAACTTTCATAATTTCCAAATTCGGGAATCTTGAAATAAGGGTAGCAGTGTCTGAAAGAGGTACATTTTCCTGGTAGTCCCTTTGCAGTGAAGCAGGAACCTGTTGGGGAAACCGTGGTGGCCAGGTTCAGGGCATTGGGGTTCACTGCACTCCATCCTTGTGATGCAAAAAAAGGATTGTATACTGGTATGGTCGGCGTTCTGAAATAAATCTGCCGGCCACTTCGGTCCGCAGATGATGCGAGGCCTAAATGAAGAAGAAAAAGTTTATGGTGGTCATAAAATGTTCAATTGATGGCTGGTATTTGGAGTCCCTGATAGTTTTTCGATGGTGACAATTCAGAAATGTATAGGAAATTGGGAAAACCCATCGGGAAAGTTCTCCGTAAGCTAGGATTTTATGAAACATACAGATTCATATAGATGATTCCGTATCATTTGCTTTCTTTTGAATGTTATTCCGGTTTCTGTCATGTGATAATTAATTAAAGATTTTAATCATTCCTGGAATCTTGCTAAGAGATTCAAATAATAGGTAGTTATCTACATCTTTATGAAAAAAAATTGAAATATGATCCAAATTCAACTGTTCTTGAAATTTAAAAAAGAATGTGTAAAGTGGTGTAGCGAATGGAACGATTTCAACTGTTGATGAATACCACGAAATCTTAGTTCAAACATGTGTCAACAGTGATTTTAATTATCTGCGAATTTGTATTCCACATGGATAGAATATTCAAAATAATCGTCAACGATCAGATTAATGAACTTGATTCTGCCATAAAACTAATCATATTCCGCCTCTCCTGAATAACTTGAGGTTTCAAACGGTAATGTAAACCAGTCTTCAAATCCAAAGTACCTATGAATACCTTCGAACTCGAATTCAGCGGGACCTGGTTCATTCCGGAAAATATGCGATATTCGTAACGTAAGAAAATTTGTCAAAAAATATATATGTTTGAAAAAATCGCCGTGATATTCGTGAGAAAAAAAACGCCTTTTAACTTTTTAACAAAAATCAGGAAACTGAATTATAGACATTATTTAATTTTGAAGACTGGTTGCATCTCTCATTTGTTCATGTCCCATGTGTTTCAGGTTTTTTTGTTGTGTTATTAATCGTTGGAAAAAAATCCGTGGTGTGATTTCTCAGGTATTTTCATGAGAAAAAAATTCCTATAATAATTTGTAGAAACATGCTTCCTTGGGGAGCTATGCCTATCCAGAAAGTACACCCTGGAGACGTTTTTTCCTGGATGTTTCCGAAATCATTCATTCAAAAATAATTAAATTGGGTGCATTGCATATATACTCTCAATGCTGAATTAGAATGTGAGCTCAGAATTTCAATATCTCATCCAGGGACGTACCATACTGGATGGGGTAAAGGTAACAAATTCAATTTTCTCAATGTTCAGGAAATACCAGTATATAAAATGCAGTGGTTTCGTAAAGTAACGAAAACATCATTCATTTCAAGTCAAACCAAACCGTTCATCATGATTTCAATTTGTCACAATTGTAAGGAAAAATTGAATAAACAGGATGATCCACGTTTGAGTAATGACGCAGTACACGAAATATTTTAAATATTTGGAATCTCCATGGAAAGCTGATTTCAAAAATATTTCACACATATAGGGTTTGAATACAGTGCGTCTGTTGAATTCAGTGTTCTCGTACAGTAGTGGAAAAAATCTTAAAAATTTAAAGAAATAATTTTTGGAAAGTACTTCCGAAGGCGTCGAATTTCATTTTCATTTGGGTATTCTTCCAAATTTGATTGATACATACAGAATGATTAGTGTGGGAGACTGGGAGAAATGTTTCCTTTTGATTTTTCATGAATATATATATCCACTACTCTACCAGAGTACCAAATTCGACTGACTCACTGTATCTGCAAACCCTATATAAGTGATAAATAGTTTTGACGTTTCTCTCACGAATGAGTTGTCTGATCATGGGGAGCTCGAGATCCCTTGCCAATTACGGACATACCAAGGAGAATCGGTAACCATTCTCGTAATCTCATTCTGTATGCATTTTATTCAGATTTGACTTTGCAGCTTGACCCCAAGCTGCTGAGGCATTCATCAGGATAGACCTATAATAGCTACCTCATGTACATCAAGACCTTTTACTCTTCCTGTTTGGGAAGGGGAGAAGCTAATAAGGGCCTTCTTGGCCTTGATCCACTGAGCTTCAATGTGTTGGCGACTCTGCCAGACTTGGTCTGGACCACCAAAAGTATTCGTGGGGTCGACGTTCAATGCCAGAACAAAGTAATTGTGTTTTATCAGGATTAATTTTGATTTTCCAAAATACAAAATATTGTTTCAAAGGGGATAATGACTCTTGATGATTTCTTGCTGCCGTTTCTCTACTCAGATAGTACGGAAGGACAGCAGTGTCATCAGCAAATAAAGATAATTTCGTCATGTTTGAATCTGGTAGGTTAAATACCTGTTTCAGGAAAGTCGAAAGAGTGGAAAATAATGTATTCAGTGACCTTCCTGCTGCGAGGGCTAGGTCCGCCCTTGGTATAGGTACAGGGTAAGATAATTTGACAGTTTCGAAGGACCAGTCTCTTATCAAAATTGTAAATTTAAAAAAACACTTATTAGTTACTCTGAGACGATTTAGTTTGTCATTAAAATGCACCCCCTGAAACATCTACATCAGTTCTAGTTTAAAACTAAGTAAAACTTCCCTGCTTCCAATAGTTTAGAATTTAATCCACCCTATACAAGATTTGATATAATTTTTTTATCGAGTAAGCAATAAACTTAGTAGTCAAATGTAAGACATTCCGTTTAGATTATAAACTTAGTCATGATCATATTATCAGATGGTCTCTCCAACATGAAATTCTACACTTTCTGTTGAAAATAGGTGTGTGTTTTAAGGGGGTCTCTCAACTGGGGAGTAGTATATATATATCGATACCACAGTTTCGATACTCTGGTTCTGCGGCTCAAGAAAAGGTGAATGTTCTAAACGACCTTGACAATGAGTACCGATTGATTCAAGCAGCAGAAATTCTGAAATTTGCAGAGTCAATAACCGCTAATATATTATTATGACTCGAAGTTTTATTTCTGGTAACTTTTCGAAGAAAATATTTTTTCGTCATTAAATTTGGGAAACATCGAATCGGTTTCAAACCAACAGCAGACAGCAGTAATCCAAACCTGGCAATACCGTTACATTATCGCTACTGATCGCTATAATCATAAATAAAAATTCGCAAAACAGCCAAATTTGTGAGATTATCATATCAAAGAGGTTTATTGATATTGCTGAATTCTCAACGGTAAAAAACTCATTTCTTTAGAATTGAATTTTATAATGATGCAAAATTAATTTGAACTTGTCTGCCTGCAAACGAAGTTTTCAAATAGGAATTAATATTTCTTTGGGATGTATTGGAGAAAATTCTTATATACCTGTTATTTCGATAACTACGCTGTCATCATCATTTTCATTCGTTTCTTCAGTGAGGGCAGATAGGCTATTCACAATCAAACACAAACATAGCACAATAAACCTCATGTTTGAACAAAAATTGATGCACAAATCACACGGCTCTTCGGTCTGTGTGGTAACGCAATGTCTCTATTTTGTAAAGTTGCTCTTATAAAACTCGAGAACCTGATGGGGCTTCTCCCCACCTCCAATGCCGAAGATACATTTACAAGAAATTATTTAGCAAAGGCCTGATGTGTTTTTGACAAGGATTGAATATTGATATGGATTAGCCATTGGAAGTGTTTATAAGACTGATCTTAATTCAATTGATCAGAGCGTTCAAGTTTGAACAAACTATATATGCTTCAAAATTGAACCTTCGCAGGAGTTGAAATAAAAATATCCAGAGTATGCAGTTATTGGCGATAAAATAAAAAAACTCAGTATGCAAAAATGAGAGAGGAAATTGAGGTATCTTCGATTTCTTGATATACATATACATGCTAATATTTCAGACGGTGATTCTTCGACTCATTTTAAGAAGAAAAACTCCATATATGAACGCATGTCTTGAAAAACTTAACTTGTGAGATACAGGGTGATGAAGTTTTGGAAAATATTCAGTTTGTTTTATAATAACTGAGACAGTATATTCTATAAATCTTCATGATATTTAGATGTAGAAAAATTCTCATTTTCTTTACGCAGTGGCACCATTACGGGAATATTATTGTATATATTTTACATAAAAGCTTTGAGTATTCACACTTATTATAATCAAGAATAAAAGTGAGCAACGACGGAAAATTTTCAAGATACGGAAAAACGAAACCAAACCTCAAATTTTGACTTTTTTTTTATCGCTTGGAGCGCACGAAAGGGAATCCCTATAATGTTCAAAGAACATCGTGCGTTCCTAGGGAGGATAGGGATAGGAGGTAGGTATTGGAATTTTTTTTGATCTTTTGGAGATTATATGTTGTTGAGAATACTTCCACAGGCAATGAATTCCAGAGCCTAGCCGTTCTATGGATGAAGGAGTCCTGATAAAGTGCTGTTCGACATCTTTCGAGGTTGACAACGAAAGGATGTACTGACTGGGCTTGTCTATAGTTCGTCTGATTGGTATTGCTAGTGAAGGGATGATAGCAGAGATTTCCGAAGAACATTTCCCGTGGAAGTATCGATAGAAAAGTGAAAGGTCACCGACCTTTCTACGGTGTTCCAATGATGTCAAAGAGTGAGTGAGTGTGGCGTCACCAACCAGGCGAATGGCTCTTCTCTGGATGGAATCTAAGAGCATCATCGTATGTTTTGGTGCTGAATCCATTTCAGGATACCCATTACTGGATAACCACAGTTTGCACTATTTTCAATAATTCAATCTATTCATATTTTCAACATTGACATCATGTATCTCAAAAGTTAGGACGTTTACGAATATGAAAGTTACATTCTTGAAATGGGTCAAATAATCGGCCCCTCGAATATCAGCATATCATTAAGGAACACTCTGTATATACAGAGAAAACTATTTTTATTTCTCCCCCTCTATCTCGAGAACTGAACACTTGATGACCGTATGATGTCCCAATCTCAGTAATTTTTAAATCACGAGAATATCACCGCCTGCATCAAGCGTTGTCGGTCGAATTTCGAAACACCTTGTAGATAGAATTCCGGAATCATTTGATAAATTGAGAAACTGAAACATCGACTTTTCCCACTTCGTCTGTCTTCTGTAACTGAAGTAATTGAAATTATATTTGGCATGTTCGATGGTTTCCATATTCCACATATTGAACTCTGTTGGCTATACAGGGTGTCCTGCCAAACTTCACCAGCATCTTCTACGATCAAAAATAGGAAAACAAGTTTCAATGAACATGAGACATGTGCTACGCCCCCCTGAAAAGGGGCTCCTGAAGATTATATTTCTTGAGCATTTCGGAAACTCCATGTGATAAAAAAATGCGATTTGGTACAAGAACTAAACTTTCTATGTCCAATGCAGGGAAAATAAAATTATTTCAAAGTTTCACTCAGGAGTGTATAATTCAGGGTGGGACTACATTAAATATATAGCTCAAAATTTTTTGTGAGCATATTTTTCATACCTCTCTACAGAAAAAAAGGTACTCTAACATTGCAATGAGTCGTAGTGGAAATGAAAAAAAAATGCACAAAAATCAAGATACTTTTTTCATCATAATTTTCTTATTTTCGCGCTTTTATGAGATTATTTGATGAAAAGAAAGTAGTCGATTTTGTTTTGACAACGTTTATATATATGCATATATTCAAATCGATTTCACTCGAAAATGATACGACATCTGATCGATACGAGCACCTCTTTTTTGTGAAACGGTGTGGATTTTCATAATATGAGATTAAATTGTCTAAAAATATGCATACAAAAATGTTTGAGCAATATTCATTGTAGTCCCACCCTGTATTATACACTCCTGAATGAAACTTCGAAATGATTTCATGCTCTCAGCATTGGGCATGGAAAGTTCAGTTCTTGTATCAAATTGCATCATTTTATCACGTTTCGTTTCGGAAATATTCAAGAAATATCATCTTCAGGAGCCCTCTTTCAGGTGGCTGTAGCTCCCTTGAGACATTTATTCTTCACTCATGTTCATTGGAACTTATTTTCGTAATTTTGATCGTAGAAGCTGCTGGTGAAGTTTTGACAGGCTAATTTCGGAACACCCTGTATAGCCAACATAGTTCAATAAGAAATAGGGAAACCCTCGAAAATGCCAAATATCCTGTATACACGGGCGGATCCAGACGATGTTTGAGGGGCAGGGGGCATAGAGATATCACGGCTCAATAATGAGGTTAGCACGGAAGAGAAATTATATGGTTACCTTCTGAGACGAATGCTTTTTCATTAAAAAAATTGATACTAGTAAACATAATCTTTAGTTTCCGTTCAAGTATCGAAATTACTGGTGTAAAAAAACAAGTTCAAACTATTCGATTTAATCCATCAATATATGTAGAATTCTGCAATAAATCATATTGGATGAAGAAAGTGAATTAAAAATATTTCTCTCGAAATACTTGGGTACAAAAGTAGAAAACAATTTCCTCTTCAAAAACAAAACAAATGAAACAGACAAATATAAATATATATAAAATAAAGAATCAAATTTCAAAAACTAAATAACAAATTCCAATCTTCTATTCTTCTGACAAGCGCGCGTATCTTTATCATATCATCATCAACATTCAGACATTCAACCTGTCTTGAACCATTTTGGATCATATCCAATCTTTCAGCCTTCTGAGTGCTGAAAAACTCCTTTCAAAAGATGCAACACTCACAGGCAGGCAACATAATATAATAGTTCCAGAAGAATGTTTATGTTAGGAAACAAATCCCAGTAAACACAAACATCCCTGGGATGTCACATTCATGTCTCACTAGGTAACAATGCGAATCACAAGAAAACATAATTTATATTGCCAGGGGACTCTTTATTTCACAAAGCATTCGCAATATTCGTCACATTCTATTGTATTTGAGACTTAAAATGTAGGTGATTTTGTGAAGCTCCATAAAAACCAAGAGTTTCACTTGAACCTCACATTCTTGTCTGTTCATGTAACGAACGGAATCAATCAATTTTGATGTTGAATGAGAAGTCGCTTGATACGTACTGTGAGTTTCAGTTGGCATCATAATGTGAATCATAAAATGACCAAAAGGGTCCGGAATAGCAGTCATTGTGATTTCAGTGGGACTCTCATTCCGAGTCACGCGGATGTGATGTGTGGCATGAATGTGATGCCCTCCTATATCTCTGGGATCAATCTGTGTTAACTGGGATGTTTCTCACATTCCTTCAGAGCAGTTATACATTGTCTAGTATATTTTGCTTAGTATCCCCATGTATCCCACATTTTCTTCCATATATACATTTCAGAAACGATCTTCTGAAAGGAGGACATTTCATCATTCTCCTCAAAAATGATCGGAAACTTTTCAAGTATATTTCTCATACCTTGATATATTTCCTCATCTGTTTTGTTTTTTGTTATTGATGGTGCACATAGGTGAAGAATCTATAATGGTCATCCACTTATGAGGAAACCGTAGGATTCCCCCTGTTAGCCAAGGGCAACCCCATTATTATCATTATATATTTAGTGTGGGTCACGGGTGGATACCTATAAAGACATGTACTATTTTCTTCAGTTATTCAAAAACCTACATTTTTACATATCCATGAAGTTCCCGAGGAGAGGGGGGGGAGGAATCCGCCTCTGCCTGTATATTCCACCATATACGCGTGTCGAAAATTCAATCCACTCATGGGACTTTATCAAAAACGATTTTTTTCTGTTCATTATAATCGAACTGTCGCATGTAACTGTTTCATTTAATCTTGACGTTGGTAGACAATGGTCGAAATGACAAAAGATTAATGAACTTTCTGGAGGAGATTTAGGATTATATCATCAAAAAGATCAGACATATTAAATTGGATCGAGAGAGTCTTAGACAGGGCCGGACATAGTGAAAAGTCAGTCAATTATTTTTCGGAAATTTGGTAAAGAGAACCACTGCATTTTAGCCAGTGCTCTATAATTATCACAGAGAGACATCATATATTATATAGAGTGCCATGTTCAAATCTGCAACTGCAGATTTCTCATGTGAATATATACGCGAGTGATCTGAAATTATATACATCGAAATATTATTCAATCGATATCGTTTCTTATTGATATGGATAAGAAATTATTCAAAAAGTAAGTTAAAAAGTATATAAACATGGGTGATATTGGGTCCAAAAATGGCCTCTTATAGGGGGTTACCAGCCATTTAGAGGCGAGCATAAGATTATATAGTTTTTTGTCAATATTTCCGAAATTTTGATCAGGGTAGTGGAAAATTGGCGGCATTGATGGTGGGGATATCCAAAAACAACAAAAAATGATAAGTATAGGTATAGGTACACAATCAATCCTGTTCAGATATGCAGATACAATATTCTTCTTCCAGAGGCCTCTGGTAGGAGTGATAAGAAAAGTTCATGAATATTATATGTGATGACGTTATCACAACGTTATACTGTAACTTGTTTTTATTCATTAAAAATAAAAATGTCCAACACATAATTTTGTAACTGAATGTGGACCTGCCTACAAATTTGCATGATAATATATTTTGTTCGCGAATGGGCCTCCAAAATTTACATATTTTAATCTAATAGCAACAATAATAATCGACAAAGTTCACCAAAGTATTAATATTTACATATAGGGCTCTAGATAACTTCAACATTTTGAATCGACCAAGATCTGATGGCCTTATCGAGACAACTTAATTGCTCTTACCTGTTCTTGATTGATGACTCACAAGAACTGATGCAAAATACTTCTCGGAAATTGTTCGGGAATACTTTCCTATAGCCCCCTTGATTGGGAATAAATTATCAGCATCAATTTCTTCAGCCTTCAGCATTAATATTGTGTATGATTGACGCCAAATCTGAGTAACTACCTCTAGTTTGTTGTGCATTTTATTATAAGATGATAATCTTTATTGCAATAAACTGAATTATTGAATGAGTATCTTTTCTTGAAATTAGACAAAAATCATTAGAAACCAGCACGGACTCAGGACCCCAGTTGACCAAAACATGTCGCAGCTTTATCCCTGCTGCATTTCAAATGTTCCATGTTTCATCACAGAGATGTTCCCATCAGAGATATAGCATAGATGAATGTCCGCCTCAAATGAAATCACAGACTTATATCAGTGATGCAACATCGGACTTGAATCAGATATGCTCCTGTGAGATCACAGTGATGACTATGTATCTACATAGCTCTCTCCATGAGCTTGCCAGAGACGTTTCTGATAAATCTGTGCTCTGCATTAGCTCCATCTCAAATCATCCATAAATTTATACTGGTTCCACCAGTATTTGATCAGTTTCGAATGCAACACCATAATGTTTGGGATATATTGTTGGATTTTCAGATGTTGAAATCAAAAAATCCATGAATATACCCTAAACACATGGAGTGGCATTCAAAACAGTGAAACAAAAGGAGTAAAAATGTAAACTTTATTCCAATCCATTGACAAATTACTAAACAAACCTCAGAATATATGTAAAATAAAAATATGAAATAGAATATACAGGGCGTTCCCAGTTATCATGATGATCACAGCATGGTTTTCTTCCATAACTCCTTCATTCATTTCCTTTTTACCTGCAGATTCCATCTCTTGGAAGTGATGCATAGAAAAGTTATCATTCATTTTCATGGGAGATCATTGTTTTGTTTTTACTTTTCTCTCCAATAACCATTTTTCCATCAAAATCGAGATCAAAATCTTTAGTTGAGCTGACTACAACTAGAATAAATAATATTTCAGTGCAAATAAAAGTATACAAAACAAGTGTTCACCTGTCATTATTGCAAAAACTCTCAGATTGGCCTAACCAGCTGGTCTTCGCTACAGGGGAATCAAAACCTGGTCTCTTCAGTATATTTTTGTACCTGGTATGCTTTCTGAAATCAAAATTGATGATTTTCCTCTCTTGAAGTCCAGCTGGAATAAAAATTCAATTTCAAACTACAAATTAGTAGCATACCTATATTAATAATAAAAATATGACACAAAACACATACATTTACAAATATTGTCACTAAAACTGCAGAGTTGAATTTCCTTGTTGGATACAAAGAATCACAAGTACTTAAAAACTGAAAAATAGCCTCAAACCTATAGCTAGAATAAAGAACCAAAACATTATCATCTATTTGCAGATATCTATTTCATGTGGTCAATGATTTATGAATGATTATTCAATGATTATAAACTTAATTGGTATACAATTGAAATGAATTCCACCTAGACATGATGGTGTGCAAACTGCAAGGGTAGACAAATCATATCTAAAACTTACTTACCTTGTTAGGTACTGACACCGTATAGAAGTAACGGTGGTACTAATGACTACATCAGCAGAGGGCTTCGAATCACACAAGTGGCTTACTTGGAATGAAATTCATTTCAATGTCCCAATGAAACAAAGAGTCAGTGAATGGCAGATCATTGTTGTTCTGGTCATTTAGTGAAATAACAAATACATTAGTTTTGTTTTGTAAACAACGAGGTATCCTTTTGTGCTGCTAATTTCGTTTCGTTTTTCGTTACGTTACCGAATTTCTTGAAAATCCACGAAAAAGTGAGGTTAGGAAAGCCCAGTAAACACAAAGCACATTCTTCGTCTTCGTGATTGTTAAACCACATTAACCACAACCACAGTGAATTTCACGTACTCAAATGATCACTATTGAACCTACAATACAAGCAAGAATTATATTTTGGATGCAATTTGCATCAGTTCAATTTCAGAACGTTGTGGAATGTGATGGCACAAATTTCTTTAATTGATCTATATTGTGATGACGCCTGGGATGCCTCAATTTTATCACGTTGATAGAACGTGTGATGAAACAAAGTTCTTTGATGGATCTCCTTTGTGATGACGCCTGAGATGCCTAAATTTTATCACGTTGATAGAACGTGTGATGAAACAAAGTTCTTCAATTGATCTACTTTGTGATGACGCCTGGGATGCCTCAATTTTATCACGTTGATAAAACGTGTGATGAAACAAGGATCTTTAATTGATCTGCTTTGTGATGACGCCTGGGATGCCTCAATTTTATCACGTTGATAGAACGTGTGATGAAACAAAGTTCTTTAATTGATCTGCTTTGTGATGACGCCTGGGATGCCTCAATTTCATCACGTTGATAGAACGTGTGATGAAACAAAGTTCTTCAATTGATCTGCTTTGTGATGACGCCTGGGATGCCTCAATTTTATCACGTTGATAGAACGTGTGATGAAACAAAGTTCTTCGATTGATCTCTTGTGTGATGACGCCTAGGGTGTCTCAATTTTATCACATTGATAGAACGTGTGATGAAACACTGATTTGTAGCAGTGGCATGTTATATTTTAGATGCAAGTTGCATATGTTTCAGAACGGTGTGATGAAACAAAGTTCTTTGACTGATCTCTCTTGTGATAGAGCTGAGACATGTGTGGTTAACTGGGACATGGTTAATCAACAACTGGTGAGAAAATAAAATCCTTTGAAAAAGTGGCTAATAAAATAGGCACCTCTTGACAGGACTGGTCATGCTTTTTTTGAGTTGCTTCATTATAAGTGTTTTGGTCTGAAGCATGTGGGACAAAATATAGAGCAAGTATGTCCATCCTTTGATTTCATTATCCACTATGGCCCTTTGTACATACATCATTGTCATCACTACATATGCATCTCACAGACTATCCTATTCATTGGAATAAAATTGATAGATTCATTTGAATAGATTTTACTGGCGAAATTTATAATTGTTGGAAAAATATAAAAATTCAATATGCATCTTATGTTAGCATTGCCTAAATAGTATTTACACTTATTCTATGTTTTATTCTCACAAACTATTTATGAAATTACATCTCAAAAATTAGGAGATATCCTATAAGAATAATAATTGTAATGTAATGGAAATGTAATGATCCAAACACTAATTACTATGGATGAACAACATTAATAAAATTCTGTTTAGTTATGATGTACTCCATAGGTTTGGTACACTGTTCAATAAGGTGCTCAAAGAGTTGTAGGCTTTGGCATCAAAATTTTCATTACTGAATGTGATGTATTCTTCTGCTGTAATGCCTTTCCCAGTCGATTTTCCATGGACCTGAAATAATGTGACTTATGAAGCCAAAGTTGCAAGTTGCAAAGCTTCATATTCAGTGTTCTCTTACCTCTACGTAACCTTCTATAGGATTATCAATAGGTCTCTTCAAGGAAATTCTCACAATTTGATTGTCTGTTGTCTTCATCTCGAACCATAGGCCGTTTGGAGATATTTCTGTGACAATACCAGTGACGCTTACCATCTTATTAATGTGAGCACCAAGCTGATTACCTGTTACAATTTCTCTCAGCATTTCCAGCCTTTAGGACGAAGCCAAATACAAATAAAATAAATACGAAAAATCGAAAACAACGAGATTCAAAGGACTTCGCCAAAATCATTGAAACATAACCTAAAAGTGTGGAATGCTGGAATCTGGAATGTGACATTCAGAGTCAGAGACATCAGTCACAGAAAGGAATAGGACAGAGCACCAATTCAATACTACCTGAAACGGTCCACCGTGCGTGCAAGTGATTTAGATTCTTAAAAAAAATACTGTGAAGGAAGGCATTCAATTTTTGGGTTGTATGATCGAAGGTTTGGGCTGATTCGCTATTTCAATGAAGTATTTTCACAACTTTATTTTTTCCATTTTCCGTAGCATGGCAGCAGATCAAGCAAGATTGGTAGATCTGATGCGAATAATCATGTTAGCGTCATCTAGCGGCGAATTTTGGAAATACGTCATACCCAGTTGTAGATCAAGGAGAGTATTCTAGAGTTTATAATCCTTGGTTGTAGATATTATGATATTGAACTAGTAATACCCAAGGTTGGTAGAACTGATGAATATTTTGTAATTTTACCAACTTTGGTAATACCTTAAGAGTTGTGACGACTGATGACGACACACTTACGATGAGTAGAGTAATAATTAGGTCATAGGTCATAGGAACATTTTCCGAACGAACGACTGAAATAATAAAATCTTTGTGATGTTTAAACATTTATTTTTTGATATGCTCGTGAATGCAGATGAATTTTCAATAGAAAATGGATCCACATCTGGCTCAGTATTTTCAGAATAACTTATGTACCTACAGCATGATGCCAAATTACAAAATTTGACACATGAACTTTTACCTATAACATTGAAATTTTCCTACAATAATGTAATTCGAAATATATTCACATTTTTATCATAACCATGGACCTAAAGTGATCTAGTGTGATCAATACCATTCAATACCAATGAGAGAACTTTTGAGAGATTGCAGTTTTGGTCCAGCATCAATTATTATAAAAAATATTATAGAGAATAATTTGAAAATTCTCTTCATACAATATATTGGCATCCATAAGTCTTAGGTTTTCAAGATTGATAATTCTATTTCACATTTAGTTCCTAAATTTCTGCCATTATTGATTTAATAAATGTAATGCAATTGATGATTTCCATATATTATTTATGAAAGACACACTAGAGTCACTAGACAATGATTACTAATGATTTCATAAAACATAGGTACTATATATATACTCAGGGATGGTATGCAGAATGTATAATACCTACCTAAATTCATAAATCACATAATAATGTATATAAAATGATTTAAAATATGTATAGAAGTGATTTGTTCATCATATCCCATATGAAAATATTTTGTAAAATATGTAAAGTGAATCCTGTATATGTAAAATTATATACAACAGTAATAACCTATGTAGAACAATGGTCACATCTCATGGTCAAATATGAACTATCAAAATTTCTCAAATTGTGGAGATTATTTGAAAGCCGTACACATCCATTCCATTTCAAATAAATGCATTTCCTTTTATGACTTGATTTTACTAAATAATGAACGGAAAAATATCACAAACAATAAGATCTCCACAAAATTCTCAACAACTCAACATGTTTTTGTCAACAGTTATGTTGTTGAGAATTTTGTGTAAATCTCATCATTTGTGAGGTTTTTTACATTCACTATTGATTTTCCATCAAGTAAGTCAACTCTAGACCAAATAAGAAATACCCTGTACATATAATGACAATCACAAAATATGAAAAATCTGATTTACCATCAATTCACCACCTTTCTTGTGATGTAATTCATTATGTAAAAATTAACCATGTTCAATCACCCATTTTTCAGAAATATAAAAAATAAAAAATAATATAAATTTGATAATATATGCATTATTTCCTCTCAATGCTCAACAAATGTTCCAAATCTAGCATAGAATTAATGAGATTATCCAGAACTTCAACAGTTCAGATAATTTGATGATAGCAGCAAAGGTTTATCTTCCATTTACTTGATTAAAATTAATAAACATTCAACTAGTGCGGCAGAAACATATGCATCTGTTTTGGAAACAAAACCGGCATTCATTTCCATGAAATGAACAAACTTGGGAACATTCTCTGAATAATCCTAGAATAATCTTTTCTCATATGAAAACAAACTATGTACATTTCCTTCTATCTGAGCTGAATGTGACCTCAGTTCAAATCTCAGCTCACTATTGTACATCCATTCTCTGAAATAAATAAAATCAATGATCTGAAAAACATGCATAAAAATGATATTACCTAAGTTGATTCAATGATCTAACACCAATATCTTGGCATCCATGTCTTATGCCGACTTGTAAGTATGGGACAAACCTCAACACTGATCCTTTATCAACAATACTCCCACTAACACCTTGTGCCACCTTCAGCTTATCAACATCACTGCAATACAAGAAAAATCAAAAACAGGTTTAAAGGAAAATTAAGCTATTACTTATGAAAATATCTGTTCATAGCAGAGCCTGAAGCATCTTTGCGATCCATTGCTTCTATGCTACCCATTCCTCGGTACTTTTTCAGCCTCACGCCATCAGAAAAAAAGTACTCTCCCGGAGCTTCTGAAGTACCGGCAAGTAAAGACCCCATCATCACTGAAAAACATTTCTTCCAACAATCAATAGGTAAGGAATAAAAATGATATCTAAATAGTGGATTGCTATCAACAACTCAGGGTAACTAGTTGAAACACATTCCAAGGACATCTGTGGAACCGCTACCAAATCGATGATTCAAGAGGATATTCATCTTATTCAACTTATTTAAATTTAAATATATTCAAATATGAACATGGCAGCACCACAAAGTTTGATAGTAGAGGTGCAATAATCATTTTAAGAAATGTCATTTATTGTTTTTGTTGTTATTAATGGTCTTCCGGCTATTGTGTAATTAGTTTTCGGTGTTTCAGTAACTCATTACATATTATAAGTCTAAAGCAGTTTGTGAATGATAATATTCAGCAGTGTCAAATATGTACAGGAAAATTATTTACAAATGTTCTAACATGATATTTCACAGGTATATAGAAATTTGGTACAGTGGCGGTGTTGTTTGAGGGCTTACTTTTGATGAAATGCGTGTTTATAATATAGACTATATGAAATAACCTCACTAAGATGTTACAGAATGACCTATTCGCGATAAAAAATAAGCGTACGCCACCTATCGGAGTTCTAGGAAGCTGTCAAAGCGGCCTGTTTACATTATTTTCATTAGTTCACATTTGTTTTTTGTTCAAGTTTATTGGCCCACACATCAAAACAAACCGCTCAGAAGTGTTCAAGTTGTTGCCGTCAGGTGGGGCGATGTGTTATTTTCCATTGTTAATTATTATGTTACAATTCTGCTGTTTTGTTGTTAAGGATTGTTGGTGTATACTTTTTAATGATTTATTAATGAATCATGGTGTCTATTTATTGTTATTTAGTCTGAGATTGACAATGATGGTGGCCCGAATTTTCTCACCAGTTGATGCTCCCAAAGACAGTGCCTTGATGATATGGCCAATAGACTGGATTCCACCATCGGCGATGACAGGTACTCCGAAGTGTTTGGCATATTCACTGACCTTGTAAACGGCGGTAGCCTGTGGACGACCGACAGCCATCACTTCTTGGGTGATGCAAATGCTTCCACTCCCCATTCCTACCCGCAACCCATCTGCACCAGCTTCTATTAGATTTTTTGCTTGTTTTTTCGTTACCACTGAAAATAAATATTACCTTCACTTACCCATACAATATGACAGACTCCTCTTTTTCAAGAAAATTCTCATTCTCATGCCAACAATACATAAAATTTCAAAAAACTACTTTTATAGTATAATAATTGAGACAACCAAGATATTCGCAAAATTGATAATTTCCTAAAATATTTAAATTTTTTCAAATTATCATATCTGTCTGTGTGTAATCAAATATTGCAAGTTAAATATGACTGACACATTTCTAATCCTCCGATTGATTTGAAATTTGGCAGGTGTACATAATTTTGGTGACAATGCATCACCAAAATTTTGTTAGAAAAAAAAACAAAATGGCGGCTCCAAAATGGCTGATGAGTTTTGTAATTATGATCCGATTCTATTCAAAATTGGTATCTGGTGGTGGCAATTATGATTCTTCTATCAAAATTGGAAAATTCAAGATGGCGGCTCCACTATGGCGGACGAGTTTTGTAGTTATGATCCGATTCTATTCATAATTTGTATCTGGGGGTATTCAGGGTCGGAAATTATGAATCTTCCGTCAAAATTAGTCAATTCAAGATGGCGGTTCCAATATGGCGAACGAATTTTGTAATTATGATCCGATTCTATTCAAACTTTGGTCAATATCCATCTGAGCATTGTTTTTGTTCTACTCAAAATTAGTATCTGATGGGAGTTTTCTGGGACGGAAATTATGATTCTTTCAACAAAATTGAGAAACTTAAGATGGCGGCTTCAAAATGACGGATAAGATTTGTGATTATGGTCCGATTATATTCAAAATTTGTATGTCGGGAGTTGTCCGATATTTTTACAATTAGAAGTCTGTCTGTGGGGGTGTGTCTGTGTATTGTTATAAAAGATTGTCATCAAACATGTTTTTTTATGAATTTTAATAATATATTGCTAGGATGACCTTGTCATGTACATATATTTTTATTAACCCTGATTTATGATTATGATTCCTGTCTTCATTTGAATGAAATAAATTGTCAATTGCTTACCATTTCCTGCTATTACTTGAAGATTTGGATAGGTTTTTTTGATATGTCGAATCATATCTATCTGATAGATAGAGTTTCCTTGTGATGAATCCAAGATTACAACATCCACTCCTGCCTGAACTAGAAGTGACAATCTGAGTTTGTCTTCCTCCCTTGTACCTAGAGCAGCCCCAACTATAAGCTGTTTGTTTTCATCTTTTGATGCAATTGGGTAGCTCTTTGCTTTTTTCAGATCTGTCCTGGCCATCAAGGCAATAAGGTTTCCACTGGCATTGACAATGGGTAGTTTGCCTTTTTTGCTTTTCTCTAGGATATGATTGGCATCAGTTAGTGTTACACTGGATTGTGCTGTTACTAAATCTTCCAGCTTTGTCATAATCTGTTCTAGTTTTATGTTCTCAAAGTTTTTGTCATCCAAAAAATCTATATCACGAGAGGTAACAATTCCAACTAATTTACCACCAAGTTTGCCATTTTCTGTGATAGGGATTCCACAAAAGCCATGTTCTTTCTTGACATTAAGTACATCAGATACTGTGTTTGTTGGACACAGAACAACTGGATCACGTATAAAACCATGCTTATATTTCTTCACCTTAAGTACTTCATTTGCTTGATAACTGGGTGGATTATTATGGTGGATAATACCAATACCACCACACAGCTGAAAATACACTTATTTAAAGAATTTCTCATTAGACTAGTCAATTTGCATACTCACAGCCATTGCAATTGCCATATCAGATTCAGTAACAGTATCCATAGGGGATGAAACAAGGGGAGCTTTGAGGATAATCTTTTTTGTTAACTGACTGGATAATGTCTGGAAAAATCATATTCAATTGATTTCTTAGGAAATTAAATAGCAATGTAACAATACTCACAACTTCTTCAGGAGGGAAGTCAATGTAACCAGGTAATATTATGAAGTCACTAGAATAGAGAGATTAATTTAGAGCCATTAGATTAGAACATTGAAAATTGAATTTGCAAACCAGAGGATCACCACAAAGAAGGTGATTAATTATAGTTACCTGTACACAATGAACTCAATACACATTCAGTTCATTGCCTGTATAAGGCCTCAGATTGGGAACATAAACTCATTGATCTAGTCAAAGAATGGATACACTTGGGGTGTTTCTAAACTCTTACCTACCACAAAGGGTAAAAATGATCAAGGATTTTACTTACTTATAAGTTAGACCATTGCCTTTATTAATCATTTGATCAGCACTCATGCCATCTTCAAGATTCACGTCCATTATATTGTTGTGCATAACATGGTTGTTCTTGTCACCCATTATCAACTTGTGTGAATATATTATTCCTTCAACTTCCTACAAATAGACATGTTTTATCCTCGATATTATCTTTCCTTTCTTTGTGTTAATATAGGTAATTGTGAATATTGTGGGTCTTCTATGATAAGCAGTCGTAATACAAAAATAATGAGATTACCCTACCTTTTAAAGTGGTGCCAGTAAACACAAGACTTTAAGGTTTCCGGCACGTGGCGAAAAAAGTTAGGTTACTATTATCTTTTCCAGATAGATTTTCTATTTATTACCGTCTTTGTACTGGCACAGAATACTCAACGTGGTACTGGTATATCGAGAAATCAATAAACCTAGATACAGTTCAAATTTACAACAAAATCACCAGAATTGTTTATGGAATTTAAAAAAAAAGACCGATTGTTTTGAACGTGTTTTGATCTTTGGACTCTCTTCTTATTTGATTTTTATTTTTTCATTTGACATTTGAAAAGGTCATCTCCATTCTCCATCTCCACCAGAGATTAGTCAACCACAGTGGTTGTGGTTGACTAATCTCTGATCTCCACGAAAAGAGAAATCTCTACTTTGGCAAACGCATGAACAGAAAACTTCCTAATTTACTCCAAAAACTGGTCCGTCTCTCCACCTGTCGGTAAAAACTTGAACACATCAGTTTCTTTATTCCTCCGAGGCATAGATTAACGACTCCCCCCCGAGGTCTCACCAACATTAAATTCATTTTTTTATTATTTAGTTCAAATTACCGGAGTACCATCTATTTGAAGGTTCCGTTGAACAAAAAATAAAATAAAAGCAACAGTAATCAAGTACCAACATATTGGATATTATTTTATTTACAAAATTCATTTTACATAGTTGCTGGATAGCAGCAACTCATTAAAAGAAACGCTATTTGCACTCATATGAAATATTTGATGATTTTATTAATAGGTACAATGACTGATATCTTTGGTAAGGATGGGTTTGTTAGTCATTCTGGTTAAAATAAACATAACACATTGCTAATTGCTGATAAGAAAAAAAACAGGTGTAAATATAAAATCATTACAATAAAATTTCTTTATCACAAATTTCGTGAAGCATCATTATCAAACCATTCACTAAAACCTATTTGAATCATTTCAGATAAAAAAGCGACCTAATAAAGACATGGTAGAAATGAACGCCAATAACTGTCTTAAAAAAACAATTTTATTTATAGGTTCTATATAATTTAAATCACAATTTATAATGTTAAAATAATCGTAAAAAAACGATATCAAAGGGGCATTTCACTAACAAACATTTACAGAAATCAGTACCAACATATACGTGGATTGCTTTTCAATTCTTTAAACCTCAAGTGATTTTCCACTAAATGGCTATCCAGATATCTCAAAATATTTCATGATCCTGGATATAAATAGAATATTATGCATATGTTGTTTCTGAGAAAAATACTAACAGAGAGAAGATTCCTTTGTCTAATAAAGATCTGAAAGAGATTCACACAAATTTACAAGGGATACTGATATGACTTTTATTATTCACCTTGATCTGATTTTCAATTATTCATCCAGATCTTACTTAAAATGTTTCAGAACAAAATTTTCGCCAATCGACTATTTCTATTCGATTTTTTTTAGATTCAAGATTAGTTAGCTATTACCTATAGGAATTTCAACTTTATGACTCATACTGTTGGCTTGGATTGATTGATTCAGGAATTGAAGAATCTATATTTTTTTATCATGTCACGGAAATGCAAGAATAAACATATTTATCTAACGAGGTGGAACATAAAAATTGTTCATGAAGATAATTCAACTATTTCCCCGTCATCATCATCAAATTCGAGATAATTCCTTCAACTTACACACAAGAATTCGAAAACAAAGATCCAAATGATATGACTATTCCACGACCGATAACTAGTAAAATGCCTCTCGCTCTATAAAAAATATCGACGATCCGCAATAAAAAAATGTTACAATGAACAGTACATCTGTATAAATACGTTATATACAAGAGAGCTGAGGTCAGATCATATCTCGAACACATTCAGTATCTAGTTCTTGTATGAGGCATCTCATGAACGCCATCTCTTTCCTTGCATTGTCGAACATGGTGCGCGGGTCGCTGGCCATGCACCGCAGGCAATTGGGCGCGAAGACCATCGCCAGGTTGGAGGCGTCCATTTTGGTGTGCTGCACGACCTCGGGCTTGTTGAAAGTCTGCAGAAACCTGATGAGGTGTTGGGAATAATGAGAATTTCAAATACAAGACCAGTTATGCAGAAAATGACTGTTTGAGAAATGATCATCAACATTTTCTGGAAGGAAAAAATATCTTATGCAAGTCCCGTTTTCCAAATATCGAATATCTTGTTTTTTTATGTCATGAAATCCATAGTCAATCACCCTGTCAACTCTCAAATTTTTGAGATACTTAGCCAAAATTTAAATATTTTTGTATCTCGGGATGAGATTCTTGAAAAAAATAAACTGATTTACTAAGACAATATGAACGAATCTATTGGACAGGTCATAACTTCTAGACTATCAGATGTATCAAAATAAGATCTGTTGTAGGTAAATGGTATATGAAGAGGAGAATTTTTGCATATTTTTTACTTTCCGACCACTACCGATTTCACCGGAGATGTCTCCAGTTTTAAATTTTTAAATGGAACATTCAATATATTGTAACATTTTTGGATTCCTGAGACAATCCTGGATCTATAAATGTAACATTTTAGAAAGTTTATACCTCTATTCAATCTTTTAGGAGCCACTTTAAATTTTACATCTAGGTGGACTCATCTGGTGATCTTTTTCCCTCAATTTTGTGCAATATTAAAAGTGACCAACAATATTAAGTAGATGCTAAAACTTTCCAAAATGTTCTATTTAAAAACCGGAGCCATTTCCGGAAAGTAGAATGTCGAAGTGTTAACTTAAATTTATGTCTATGTATTAATTTATCTACTGATATTCAGAATAGGATATTTATTTTTAATCTGTTCCTGAAGATGCTAACATAGTTAGCGAAACACGTGTCGAGGCGTTTAAAAAATCGGTTTGGTAAGTGGTAAAACAGTGTAGTATATCATCATACCAAGTTCCAGTCTTTGATATATGTGTTAAAACAGTATAAAATTCTTACTATGTCAACAATGCATAGGTCGGGTTCCGATATTCCCAACCAGTACATATCATTACATGATGTAATAGAGAAACTAAATCAGTAGACCAATCAAAAAACCGCAACATGATAGCTTTCCGCCAACAGAAGATATTAACTTTCAAAGTTGGAAGAATTACAGATATGACAGCCGTTCTTAGTTGTTCACCCGGTACATACATACATAAAACTTGAGTTAAATGAATTTATTATTCCCATTTTCATACCTTGCCGCCAAACAACGATGTATCCCTACTAACACTGCTAGATATTCGTTCCGTTATTCAACAGTAATAGTAGTTTACTGAAACTCAAATCGTTCCGTTATTACTGACTGTGACCAGTATATTCAGTAATATCGGAACTCGACCATAGAGTTATGATCTTTGATAATCCATGATGATAAATTCTATACCAGACAGGATCGGACTGAAAATATAGCTGACCTGATCAGGTAGCACAGCACGAGCCTGTGCAGGGTCGGCAGCCTGAGCACCAGATCGCAGGCGCGGCGCGGCGTCATCGGTTCGGCGACGCACTCGGGATAGAGCGAGTCGGGTATCAGCGGCTCGTAGAGCTCGCGCAGCCACAGCTTGAGCAGGTTGGCGGGCGCGTGCGCGTCGCTAGGCTCGCTCATCTCCCATCCGTCGATCTGCGCCTTCAGCCTGTTGACCTCGTCGACGTCGGCCGACACGCGGAAGATGCCCTCGGTCTGCAGGCCCTGCAGCCTCAGCACCTGCGGCGAATGTCATCAAGTGAAGCTAGCCCGATTTCGTATAGAACTCAGGTCTCAGGTGGAAAAAAACTTCAAACCTATTCTGGATGATGCATCAATGGAGAATGTAGTGTAATTACAAATGAAATGATATAAACTTTATTCGATAATAATATATGAATGATATATACCTTTGAATTTTGATTGACGGGTTTATTCGAATCATGGAAAAAAAATGTAGATCATTTCATTAGAAATAAAAAACATTTTTCTAAGCCACACTGTATTTTGTTGATATACAGAAAAGTAAGTAAATTCAAAAAATTCGTTAAAAAGGCAAGTTTTTGAATGACCAAAACATGTATATTTACGAGGATTAAGGGAGATGTCACATTCAAGTGGGACACCCTGTACAGGGTGGCTGAAAGTAGAGCCTTATTATTGGGATCTCGTGAACCGTAGAAAATGTAGGGTCTGTTGAGAAAAAGAAATAAAAATCCAGGTCTGTATTTAAAAAAAATCGGTGATGGTTTCTGGAAGACGAAACGTCGGGTATCAAATTTTATAACGCCAACTTGTAGGGAAGAAGAAGTGGCAATGATGAAGTGCCATTCTTTTTGATAAATTTTTTCAAGTAACTCAAATTTCGATATTCTTCCTATATCTCCGCAAGTATTCGGAAATCTCCAAGTTCCAAAACGGAATTTTGTTATGCATAAAATTGCGCAACTTTGCCAAGATCTAACCAACCCATATCTCCTACGTTTTACGAGATTCCAACGATGTGGCCCTAATTCTAGCCACCCTGTACATACTACAGCAAAACTTTGAAATTCTTCGATATGGCAGTTTTCCCAAGAACTCATAATCTCCAAAAGATCTCCCTACCCACCCCAGGTATGCACGATGTTCCACGAACATAATGGCGATTCCTTTTCGTTCGATCCATAAGATTGAAAATAAGTACCTGTTGAGAGAGCTCCACTTGCGGCCAGGGCAGCCTCCGGTTGGGCCATCGGCTCGCCTGCAGTTGCATCACTTCTCGTAGGGTGTTGCCAAACAGGCTGACCTGGAAGATCTGCTTCCGAGCGGCTTCGACGTCATCGGTTTGGGGACGACGGGCCGTGCGTTTGCCACCAGCCCCTATTCGTTCCAGTCTTTGGCATGCCACGGTGGCGTAATGGTTTACCTGGAAATGCGTTAGTAGGGCTCTCAGATGCTGTGCAGAGACATAAAATATAGTACGTTATCGGTTTGGGGACGACGGGCCGTTCCTTTGCCACTGGCCCCTATTCGTTCTAGTCTTTGGCATGTCACGGTAGCGTAATTGTTCACCTGGAAATGCGTTGGTAGGGGTTTCAAATGCTGTGCAGATACTTTGAATATAGTACGTTATCAGTTTGGGGATGACGGGCGGCCGTGCGTTTGCCACTGGCCCCTATTCGTTCCAGTCTTTGGCATGCCACGGTGGCGTAATGGTTTACCTGGAAATGCTATAGTAGGGCTCTCAGATGCTGTGCAGAGATATCAAATATAGTACGTTATCGGTTTGGGGACGACGAGCCGTGCGTTTGCCACCGGCCCAATAGTTTATCTTCTGTAGTCTATGACCTGCCCCTATTCGTTCCAGTCTTTGGCATGTCACGGTGGCGTAATTGTTCACCTGGGAATGCGTTTGTAGGGGTTTCAGACTTTGAATATAGTAAGTAATCAGTGTTGGGATGACGGGCGGCCGTGCGTTTGCTTCAGGCCCCTATTCGTTCCAGTTTTTGGCATGCCACGGTGGCGTAATGGTTCACCAGGAAATGCGTTAGTAGGGCTCTCAGATGATGTGCAGATACATTAAATATAGTACGTTATCGGTTTGGGGACGACGGGCTATGGTATGTCACCAGTCCCTGTTCGTTAAAGTCTTTGGCATGCCACGGTGGCGTGATGGTTCACTTGGAAATGCGTTGGTAGGGCTTTCAAATGCTGTGCAGAGCCATTGTATATTGTACTTTATCGGTTTTGGGACGACGGGCCGTGCGTTTGCCACCAGCCCCTATTCGTTCCAGTCTTTGGCATGCCACGGTGACGTGATTGTTCACCTTGGAATGCGTTGGTAGGGGTTTCAAATGATGTGCAGAGACTTTGAATATAGTACGTTATCAGTTTGGGGATGACAGGCGGCCGTGCGTTTGCTACCAGCCCCTATTCGTTCCAGTATTTGGCATGCCACGGTGGCGCAATGGTTCCCCTGGAAATGCGTTGGTAACTTGGTAGGGCTTTCAAATGCTGTGTAGACATTGAATATAGACTGATAAAGCACCATTTACCAAATGTACCACCATAATTCACACGTGGCTTGATTATTTATTACCCAATGTCCTTTTTGGACCGTACACTTTTCCCGAGGGGCAAACAACTACTCAAAATGTGTACACCATATTCAAGTATCTGGCAGTTGAAAAGTACTTAAAATATTTAAAACTGGTACTTAAGGTACTAAAAATATAAATAATAAATAATAAACAGGTACTTCAATTAATAATTTTAGTACTGAAGTACTTGAAAGCTTTTTAAATTGTTCTTAATGATTTGAAAATGATACTTAAAATTCCATGGTGTACACCTATTTAAAGAGTTGTTTCCCCCTCGATTTTTCCAGACAGGTCGAATGCTATATTATTTTTTATTTTCTTCAATGATATTGGAAAAGATATTAGATACAACTGAACGAGGCTTTACCAGTGGCTCAACACGAATTTTCCGCGTCGTTGTATTGGTCCGTTGAAAAGAACATGAGCTTTTTACCCTCTGTATCCCCGCTACTGATTCCTATTGGACACATGCTCAAAAACATTGCAATTTTAGTAAATTTAAATGCATTTTCAACGAGTTGTTTCCAAGAATAAAATTCAAGCGAAACCGAGAGCGACACAGGCAGAATCGGGCAAAATTAACATGTAACGGATATGCTTATTTCTCTCAAAAACAGTTTGCTTCTGGAAAAGAATTGAGAATCTAAAAAAGCATTTGGATTGAACGATTCACCCTAGGCCTGGGAAAAAATATCGATATATCAATAAATATATCAATATATCAAATAACGAAATTTCAAAGATATCGATATATCGATAACTATCGATATATTCGAGGATATATCGATATTTATCGATATATCCCCCTGTAGCTCCACTACTGATCGAGATAGGGCCCATGTTTATATGAACTTTTTTGAGTAAAATGATGAGATCTATCACCCATTCCAGTTGGTACCTTGAAACCTGAATCACCCTGTATAGACATTAAAAAAGGAAAGAACAGCTTCACAAACTTATTAACAAAATTTTTTAGGCTCTGGAATTCATTGCCTGAGGAAGTATTCCCAACAACATATAACCTCCAGAAGTTCAAAAAAAATTCCAATACCCACCTCCTATCCCTATCCTCCCTAGGAACGCCCGATGTTCTTTGAACATTATAGGGATTCCCTTTCGTGCGCTCCAAGCGATAAAAAAAACTTCTTGTTAAATTCTTGATGTTGTCTATTGTTGAAAATTTTTTCCTCCACTGTATTTTATAATTTATTTTGTATGTTCTCCTTAGTTTAATAAAATGCAGACTTAGGAAAAAAGTTAAAGAAATGATGATAATAAGAAATACAGGAGGGATACTTCTGCTAGGTGAGCATTTTGTAAACAACATTCTGATTTTGGAGAAGAAATTCCAATGAATGAAATAAATCAAGCAGTTGGAGAATATTTCACATTAAGCTTGAATTTATCAATAAATTCAAAAAATTTGCCTATTTCAAGAAAATTTCATGAAATTCCAAGAATTTATAATATACTATAATAAAAAACAAAGAGTAAATGAACTTACCAATGATTTTCAAGAAGTTTCTTCAAAAACATATTGGTTGATTTATGACCAGATTGATGATTATCAGCCAATAGATTAGATATTATGCTCATAAAGAATGCCCATAAACAGATTACAGAATTTGGAATTTGTAGTCTTTGCCATAACATGATTTATAGGTATCAAAATATTTTCATTATCACATACTGGGATACTTGCATGTTGCATGTATCAGAGGCAATTGAATGATATAATTTTCAAGGTTATATTCATGTCAACATTGTGATGAGAAATGGGTTAAGTGTTTCTTTGTGTTGTTCATGAAAACATATTCAAAAAATTTACACAATTCTTGTTCCAAACAATGAAGAAGGCATTAAATAACATGAGATTCATTTGTATATTTTGAATGCAAGAAAAAAAAATCTGTGAACTAAACAATATGAATTTGAGCATTTTAAAAATTTTATTGAAGTAGAAATGATATTTTTTCAAGTCTAAGAGAAAGGTTTTACAGGCCTCTAAATCATCTCAGGATAATCTTGAAATTCCAAATAACTGAGTGCAAAAACTACAAAAATGTTGTGTCCTTGGAGCAATTATACAAATATGTATAGCTACAAAAATGACTTATCTATTACACTCCAAAAAATTTAGATATATTATGAATATGAAAGGAAAGATGAATATCAATCCATCATACATCTAAACAAAACAAATCAATACTATTTTTCTAGATGAATATAGATAATTTCCTACTTGGATATTATATTGACTGACTTTTCCTGGTACACACTAACATTGAAAATATAAAAATGTCTTACCTGTACATGAATGGGCCATCTGTTAACATCTGGAAAAACTTTAGAAAAAGTTGGGTCTCTATGCCTGTTGAGGTAACCTAGGAGAGCTGGTTGGAATACAGGGCTAGGTGGTACAAATGCTAAGGCAATGGTCAGTAGCTCCCAACCCCTCACAAGAGACTCTTTCCTTGGATTTTCTGTAGTTTGCCTACACAGCTGTACAAACAACTCATCACGAAGAAGAGCTTGAACATAAGCTGTTCCCAGAATCTCCATTAGTAGTGAGTTCAATGACATTCCTGGTCTGGCTTTCCTATCACCCATATACATTTGTACTTGTCTGAACATATCCAGAGCTTGCCTTGTCACAGGCTTGCTAGATGCTAATAGAGGCCTCTGAAGACTTCTGCTGGACCAACTCAGCAAATCCCTAACACTTGCTTTGCGTCTGAATAAACCTCTACCACCCAAATTCAAATTGTCCACTGCAAATTTCTCCATATCAGCTTCCCTTTCAGGTTGCAGAGGAGGTTCAGCAAGTGGCTTCAACATTGGCACTGCAGGTCTTTCTCTCAACTCCCTCTCTCTATCCCTGGGCTCTGTACTAGCTGCTGTTGGCAGGTTGAGATACTCAACAGGTCTATGAGAGAGTCGGTGGGGCAGATAGCTGCCTTCAGATTGGTCAGAGTCCTCATTATCAGGCTCATGGCCTGTAAGTGACTCACTGCCACTGTCTGAATGATCACTGTCAGAATCTCTACTGTTGTTTAGTAAAAAATGCTCTAAGGGCAGTAGCTGAGAGTCATGCCAGTTGGAATATAATGGAGCTTCTGCTCCTCTTTGACTGAAACTGCTGCTTCTACACAAATCACTGGGTTTGCGTCTGAGCTGGGGAGTGCTAGCAGACAGACTGAGGACCTGACCTCTCTCTGTGAGATGTCCAGTCTGAGTGGCCTGGTGACTAGTTGGTGTAGGAGTACAATCTGTGTTATGTTTCAGGGTCTGAAGTTTTGCTAAAGGGATGATGTCACAGTTGGTAGGTTTATGCCAGACTGTCCTTTGTGATGTAGCATTGTAATAGTAGAATCTAGCTGTGTTTTGATCAAATAGTTCCCACCACTGGTTGGAGTCTGTTCTTTTGACAGGTACACCTTCTGGTGGGTCCCATACACATTCTCCAGTAGCCAGGTTTGCATACATATGCTCCTGAGTTTTGGGCTCGATTATTTCTACCCATTCCACCCTGTTGAAAGAATATTATTAGTTGATATAGGGTGTGTCGAATAAATATTGATTCCAATACCTGTAAGAATTATTAGAAGCCATTTTTTTACATTGTTCATAGGACTTTATGTACACCAGTTATTTGATATGCTCAACATCATTTTGATACTATTTTATTGTCTCTGCAATTCCCCATCATGTCAAAAATGATTGAGGAATTCATGAAAACCATAATAAAAACAAAATTGGCAGAACCATTCTATTTCATACACGCCATTATTTTATCATTACCAACCTGACAAACTCATACATAGACCTACTTTTTTAGCAAAAATTCGGACAACCATGACTTTCGGTATGTACAAATATCATGACCAATCAGAACGATTCTAGCTATGGCGGCTGAAATAAAATAAAATTGATATTACTCGGATTCTCATTTCAAAATCTTGAAATTTGCTATGGCAGATTCCGAATAGAATAAATACCGATACTTTTACCCCGAGTAAATAAATGTAATGGAAAATAATTTTGAAGTTTTGAAGATCTTGACCGCCACAACTGATAAATTATTGCAAATTTTGTGTTTCACACTTTTCCCTAGATCAATCCCAAAATTACAAACATGCAATATTTTTGGTCAATGGTCATATTGTTGGTATGACACGATACAGAATACAGTTTACATATAGAATTCGTGCTGAATTACGAAATTAGAGCTAGTTACTATTTTTATACTATTATTATGATTTCATGATATCATTTCCAATTCTTCTAATTACCGCAAAATGAATGTATCATCCTTCATCATCTCATATTTTTCGTCCAGAAATAAACATCACAGTTTCGAAGAATAGTAGACAACCCTCTTTGACAATAATTGGTTCAAGAGCTGACGAATAATCAGTTCTACCAACCTTGAGCGCAAAAAGTCATCGCTGAGCAGAACGGCGGGGGCTATCATCTATCAGAGATGAAATGAACTAACTTTCCAAATAAAAGTCTGCATTACAGCGGACTAACTCAAAATAAGCAATCACTGTAGAAACCTGTAACTAGTATGTAATTTGAGGTTATGCATGTTTTGTTCATCCTGCTTCCATTTATCCATGATGGAATTGGAAATAGACATACAATGACATAAAATTTTTAATTAGCTCGCTCTGGCAATGGCTCCTGTTGTATCATCATTCAAAAATTCTCCAGAGAAAAATAATGAAGTAGGTATTATTCGTTAAAAAAGAATAGTCATGTGTTGAAAAACATTGAGCTTATCCAATGTCCAATGAGTTTGATGATGATGTGGAAACCACTATTCCCATTTGAGGAACTGAGGAACAGAGGAAATAAATAAATATATAAATATATATATAACATGATTTATTATCACAATTTTCATTTTGTAAAATCAGTCAAAAGCTAGTTTCAATAATATATTTTGTAGCTCTACTGTAGCAGAGATCAGTCACCTGATCTCTGACTGTAGGTACCTATATATACCTACTAATACATAATAGCATTTTTTTCGTAATTTTGGATTTTCACAACAAAATTTGGTGATTTCATTGGATTTAGTATCATGAGCACATTATGAGAGAGCTCCGGTAGGTATACTTGTATATATACTCTATTATAATGGTTCCTGCATATGGACCAAAGAATAGTAGGTTAGTCACCTTGGATCACAATACTAGGTTTGTTCTCGTTCTGAAAATAAACAGTCCGAAACCATCAGGAGCATGCGCAGTTTCACAGAACTATTGGCATTTTTCATGGGCATGCTTCCGATTTTGAAGGAGAACAAACCTAATATCAGATATAAATAACATTATTATGGTTGACTTTTTCAACTGAGTAGGTATAAGTAGATATGACAATATACGAATCTAATGATTATTTATTAGATGTTCCTGATATTTGATATAACAATAATTCCTTAATTTTTTAGAAGTAATAACTTGGTCAGAAACTGATTAATATGGAATCAAAATCCATATCACAGTTATTCCTCATAGATAGTGTATAGCAACAGGACGTTACACATATCATTTATATTGAAAATGCTTTATAAAAAAAATCGAATAGATTTTCCACAATAAAGTTCCTCATTCATAATGGAGGAACTAAAAAAAAACTAGTGGAACCAAAAATATTTCTTTGCTTGTCCCATATAATAATATATATGATGATTTCCTCTCGGCATAGCTTTCGGAAATAATAATACCTCAAATTTTGAATTGACTTGGCCGTTACTTGATCGAAATCCATGGCAAATGTAAAAACTACACAAACGGTAAGAATTCCACAAAATTCTCAATCACATGACATGTTTCGCTAACACAGTAGCTTCATCAGGTACACTGTATTTTAATGTAGATATTGTAACTATTTTCCGAAAATGAAGGTTTATCGAACCTGTCCACAGGTAATTCTAATCCTTCAGGTTGGAAAAGTAGGATATATAAAAGTTAGGCAAGCCAAGGTTAGTTTAGTTAATTGTACCAGTATTACACCTGATGAATAAGCTACTATCGTTCGTGAAGTTTTTACAAATACCTCAATCATAAATATAAACAAATAATGCTGATATACAGTGCCATTCATTGTGTTCCTAAGTCATGTTACATTTTTTTTGGGAAAACAGTAGGTAGGTACCTGCATAGTTTTTGCATCAAACAAAACAAGAGCAAAACTAAATATTGACGGTCATCATGAATTTGAAATGAAAAAAACACCACAATATTAAAGAGTGAGATTCAATATATATTACATCATATATTAGGTGTCCTTCAATAAATAATAATTTTATTGGCATAACAACTTTGACATAATCTGTATAGATCAAAATAGTTTGTTGACGTTCATTTCATGCAGGGGAAATAGAAGTTTTGTACATATATACATGATGAGATGTTTATAAGTTGACAGGCATCTTAATAGGTACATGATCATGAAATCCATCATAAATATATAGTTCCCACTTCCCATGTAATTATCTTATGAATGGCACTGTATGTATACAGAAAAGCTTTTCAATAATTGAAGATACATGCAATCTCAACATCATCCCTCAAAAAAGTAAATAGTGGAATAAGAGATTTTTTACCACACAATTACAAGAGATTGAGCAAATAATCTATAATAGGAAAACTTTGATCATCCCAGGATGGTCTATTGGTGATAATAATGGACCAACATCGGTGAGGATTGATCGCTTTTCAGAAAAATCATGAAACCTGCTGATTCCTATTCATGTATATTCACATAATTAGATAATATTCAAACTAACATTTTTTCAGTATTCAGCCTGAAAAGGTGTAGTACCTAATCACAAAGATCAGCAGGGATTGTTTAAACATAATACTGTTTTGAGATTGAAAATAAAATAAAGGATGTTGATGATATTTTCTTCAGATAGAATCTGGAGAGCACTAGTGAAATACAAGTTTAAAATTAACAATAAGAATAGGACTAGAAAGATATTGGAGAAAATAAATATCATCAAACAAAATAAGATATATACTCATGTGGCATTACACCTCTTCTAGGATAAAACGTATGATTAACTGAATAATTTAATAAATTGGATATATTAGAAGTGTATATATCAGCAAATCTGAATAAACGCCTGGAAAAGTAGGTAGGGTTATGGTAAGTTCGAAAAACACTTCCAAATTGTTCATTGAAGACATATTTGATGTCATTCCTACAAATAAAGAAAATATGTATAACATATAATGATTGATTATCGATTATCTTTACCGTATTTTGTCTCTTTCTGCCATCCATCTGGCTAGAAGCTTTTGTTCTTCAGGATCTTCACAATCTTGATGATCTTCAATTAGTTGGGTTAACATTTGCAACCAATTGGCATTTTTCTTGAATTCTGGATTGTTCAAAGTTGCTATTTCATGCTGAAAAAGAGCCAAATATTCAATTCTCCAATTTGTGATCTTGTATTTAATAAGCAATCTTTTTCAATACTTGGATATATTCTATGAAGGACAATAATTATCATCAAAAATATAAAGTTAAGAATCAAAGATAAGTGGAGAAATGGAGAGGAAGAGGCCATTCAGTCCTAAACCTAAACAATTCGGTTTTGCAGATGACGTCGATTTTATCAGGTCATGGACGATAGACGTACATAGACCTACTTTATTTAACCACGTTGATGTATACATATTTTGCAGCAAGTCAGATAAAAAAGTCGATAGCTGAGTTACTCTTGAAGTATGAGATATCAAGTAAAATAACAAGAAACAAACAGAAAAAATACAGATAAAAATAAGACAATACTATACAAATAATCCACAGAACAGTTTCAGAACAAAGATATTTTCAGGAATATTTTATGGTCAGAATGAAAAACACGATGATTGTATAGATTTATGTTGAGGGAATTTCTTGAAGATTTTGCCAATTTGGCTAACTTGGCTTGAACCTCGAGATCTATATAGTCATGAAAATGGAAATTTAGTTGTAGTTTATTCTTATTGTTATGAATTTTCAGCACTTGATGATATCTGTAAAGGGATGGTAATGACATAATACCATATTGTTGGTAAAGAGGTCGACAGTTAACTCTATATATCCCTTTTTGTGGGAACCAGAACATAAAAAAAGTATCCGGCATGCCTGATAACTCTTACTTTTTTTTTCTGTAGTTTGAAGACTTTGAATTTCCCCATGAGATTATTCCATATGATGAATGAGAATGAAATAATGAATAATACATAGAAAGAAGAACTTCTATATTGATCACTCCTCTCAGTTGTCTCATGATGAAGATTGAACTGGAAAATTTAGAACATTGACCAGTTTGATGAATCTTCAAGAGTAACTCCTAGAAGTTTGACAGGGTCTACATGGTGAGCTTTTGATGAGAAGGTAATGCAATTTGTTTTGCTAATATTTAGTCTCAACTTGTTTGCAGCAAACCAGTATTCAGCCTTATTTTCTAAAGGTAGAATAGAATTTAGGGGGTAAGTATTGATGGGATTAGAGTGTATTATATTGTGTCTTGGCTCACATTTTTTCCTGCAGTCATCTTTAAGAAGCCAGATTATACCTATGATAATTGTCAACTGGAAGCTTATACATATATAATTCACCCACTTTGAAGTTATGTTTCATCAGCATGTTATGATGTTCCTTTTTTTAACTACCTAATGATAATGAAAATATAAATTTTACCGTTAACTCAGTGATGATTGCCCCTGTTCTCCACCCATGCTCTAAAGTAACATCTGCTAAATCACTGTATGGATGGTCCCCAAAATAAAGGACTTGGTGCCCTCTCCATCCTGTCAGGTCCTGCAACTGCTTCACTGTTCCCTAAATCGAAATTTAAGCTTAAACAAAGACAATTCAATGTTCAATCAAGATTTCCTATGACTTCCATCCCTACTCACTTCATAGTAGATGAGTCCTTTTTCTAATTTTGAAACTCTATCCCAGATATGGGTACCACTGCATTCATCAAATACTCTGATAGGTCTTGATACATCAGTGAAAAATTTTGGTTTCCTTGCTTGAACTATCAGTACATCAAAATACTCTTTCCAGTCTGGTCCCACCATGAATTCCATACCCTTGTTTCTAAAAAAATTATTGAATTGTAATCTGTTTATAAATTCACATTTGAAAATGCTCATTTTTTGATCATTCAACTTACACAAATCCATAGGGACTATTAGTAACCAAGAACAATTTCTTATTGGCTTTTTTCAATCTATCAAAGAAAGTTCTCAGCTGATCATTACTTTCAATGTATTCAGATACATTTTCTGATACTACTTTATGCATTATTGGATGGGAATTTTTTATAGAGTTCTAGAAATAAGAATATATTAAGGAATATTTGGAACTGTTATTTCCACAGGTTTTCTGTACTAACTTTGATATCTCTGAATAGGATTTCAGGATGATAGTCTATGTGGTTCTGATCAAAATAATCAGCTACATTGCACATGAGGGTCATCTCAGGTACAGAAAAAAGATCAGCCAACTGAACCATTTTCGTGTTTGACTCCTGTAAAGTCAACTATAAATGGTAATAACCAACATATTAGGTAGATATATGCATTTCAAGAAGATATTAGTGAACATTCTGAAAACTAATTCCTTAGAAATTACAAAAATGATTAGTTCTTTGTGGGATACTAAAATAAAGTGCAAGCCATCCAAATATATTGGGTTAGATAACATGCTGTGAGACTTGAAGTAGGTATCTAGGAAATCAGTTAGTCACTTGAATGAATAATTTATTCTTACTGAGGCATTTTTGGTGTGTCCTTCAACATAGGCAATAGGAATAATCCTATTTTTATACAGCTTCAGTACTTCTTCATTGGACAATGGGGTCAGGCCTTTATAGACAGATCCAAACTGTATTTGCAGAAAGGAATCAAGTTTTAGCAAAACTCCTTTTTCAATATCATAATGCAAACCTCTAACTGCGAAGCCTGGTTTATATTGGAGTGATGAGATTGCTTGAGGATACTGAAAACAGAATCATGTCATAACATTTCCAAATGTGAGGAATAAAGCTAAGCTATTTACTTTATATTGTTCAATGAGAGTCTGTTGGCCAAGATTGTAAAGGAGGTAATCAAGTGATGGTTTATAGCAAGCTAATGTGTAGTCATAGTCAAATCCATAAACTTTAACTTCCTTCAGGTCCAGCTCATTACAAGCAAACACAGCTTTTGGATTGACATCTTGTGGTAGTTTCTTGGCTGCAATATGACAATATTGATATACCATCTGTATTTTTAATGCAATTTCCTATACATACATTGGCACTTCGTTTTAATATATTTGTATGCTTCTTCGAGACGTCTCTGAGAGTGGTTTCGAACAGCTGTTTCACATTTTCGATATGTTTGCACCCCAAATATTGACTTTGTTAAAAAGTTTCTGCTTATAATCTGACTTAGCAACATAACGTCGAAAAATTTTAGGTTAGGGTTAGGGTTTTGTGAAGGTTAAGTATTTCTTTTAATTAGCAATTTTCTAATGAGATTTTCATGAAAGAAAAATCAAATCCAATACAATCTGTGGAATAATGTAGGGAAAATCGGACTGAGGAGTTAAAACTTTGCTGGTTCATGAATTATGTTCTAATTTTTTCAGATATTTATTTTTCGCTATTTATCCAGAAAGGTGGAACAATTAGCCACAATAAGCGCACTAGAAAGTACTTATGTACAATTATACAAGCAGTCCATTTTCCAAATTAACTCATGAGTCCTCACTTTAGATTATATAACCTAATACTTCTAAAAAGAGTGAAAGTGTTTTGAATTTACCGCCTTACTGGAATTGATGTGATGTATTAATTCCATAATAGATGGCCTCACCTCCGAAAAGGTTGGTAGAACGCCCTGTAAGCATCTGATCCTCTAAAACAGAAAACCTCCGCTGAAATAAAATAAAACAGTGAAGAAGAATTTCAAATTTCCGTGCGGATCATGTGTGCTGCAGAATCTTGAATCTTGTGCAAATATTTCATTTGTTTTAATGTTGTTGACAAGCCTTGTTCTGGTTTTTTACTAATTATTCTTCAGTTTAGTCCCACCAATATTGTTTTTTCTAATTATCCCATTGAAATTCATTCCTATAGTGCAAAAAAAACTTTTCAACACTGATTTTTAGGTAAGTGATCTAAGAACGGTCTTGCTATTTCAAATTTAATTGAGGTAATATGTATATCGAAAGCAGATGGGCACTAAGGTTTAGCGACTTATTCTATCCCTGTTTACAGCGGTTTTTTGTTCCCAATCCCAGACATCAGCACATAATAATGTATTATTCACAATGTTCACAACAAACCTACTTCAGAATATTATTCCAAAGAGTATATGCATATCATGCAACATATCATATATCTAAATGTCCTAGGGACGTTCCTAGAATATTCAAAAAAACGGCTTGACCCCTCAAAAAATATCATACCTACTGTGTATGAAGTGAACCCTAAAACGTAAAGAAAAAAATCATACTTTGATACGAAAAATCAGCTCCTGAAGTCTTGATACTGACTTTTGGGAACACCCTGTATATTGTTTATGACTCGATCGGTACAACACGATTATTTTTCATTACCTAAACCAAATAGCCATTATACTTCCCCCTCCTGCTAAAAAGAATTTTAGACGCCCGTCATTAGTTTTGAACTCAATTTTTGGGTGAAGTTTTTCGAAGTGTGTGAAATAAATAATACCCTATAATGGTCACTTTTGGATCAATATTGTCCATGCGCTTTAGGATACCCTGTATACTGAGATTATTCCTAGATCATTCGGATGATGTAACTATGTTATATGTTCTATATCTATATCTATCGAAGAATGTTCTGAAAATGTTCTGAAGAATATTATGAGAACGACGTTATTGGAACGTGAATTTTAGTGCCATTTGCATATGTTCGTAGAATATTCTCAGAACGTCCAGTGCGCGCGCACCTAATTGTGAGAACATTCTGAGAATATTCGAAGAATCATTTTGTGCTGGGGAGGATTATGCATGCCATGATTGCATTCAGCTTCAATTTTTCATTAGAAATAATCTGGACTTCTCGGATGAATACAATACAGGGCTGAAACATATTGTGGTGGTAAAACCATATAAGTATAGGTACGGAGAAGACCTAGCGAGACGGTAGATTGATACAAAAATCTGTTATTAGCATGGACGTATTACGTCCATGGTTATTAGTATATCATAGCATTCAGTAGGCACTAGGCACGAAAAAGGATTTTGCTATCGTACCTATTCCTAATATCATAGGATGAATATGTCCACATCGTACACCTACCTCATCAGTATTCATTCTGATATAGTCTGATGGATTGTGGTCTGATGGAATTGAAATAGACACCATAATTTTTCTCAGAATGTATAATATCTAGTTAGTAGAGATTATACCTAATAACATTTGATTTTTAATTTCCTTTTCAGCTCATTCAATCATCTGATGTGGTTCATGTGGCTGTGAAAATCCAGTTGATTTTGATAAGACATTAGGTGAGTGATGCCTAATATTGATTTTGTTGATTAACAAACAAGGAGTGGATAGAATTTGCGGACTGAACTAAAATTTTGTGGACTGACTATTTGCAGCAAACAATTAATTGCTTTTATTGCATATCTGGATTTAGCTCACCAAATATTACATGATGAGAAGTTTTGAATTGTTTTCCTCTGGCTCCCCAGGGAGACGTAGGTTAATCGAGGAGGTGGTACATCATTCATTATTCCAGACTTTTTTGGAACTTTCTCTCCTCGTCTCAAATAAAATATAAAATATGAAAACCATTGCAATATACGTGAAATTAGTACAAATCAGATGATATGCCCCAAAATGTCACTGCGTTCAAAGAATCTTCCTATCAGAGAGCCTAAAAGGAAAAATTCACTAGCTTGTCAGTGACAATTTGTTTTGAAAAAGGTTTGGAGAAGAGAAATAAAGGTGACAATTGGTGACGTCACTGAGAACTGAGAAGTGTCAGGACATATAAGAATTTGCCATACAAAAAATCCATTTTCTATGTTAAAAACGGGAGGAGATTCGTTCCCGAATCGTCCAAAGATAAGTAACAATTTGATATTTTTTCTATATAGGTACCTTGATTTCCCTTATCCAAACCTTTTCCAATACAAATTTTCACTGACAAGCTAGTAAATTTTTCTTTTAGGCTCTCTGATAGGAAAATTCTTTAAACGCAGCGACATTTTGAGGCAAATCATCTGATTTGTCCTAACTACACGTATATTGAAATGATATTCATATTTTTATTTTATAGAAACGAGGAGAGAAAATCCCAAGAAAGTCTGGAATAATGATTGTTCTTGAATATCCTACTCCTTACTCTGAAAATTTGATGCGACGTTGTTAACATTCAATCAGTGGAGAAATTAATTTCCAGAAATTGAATTGCTATTTTCTTGCAATCCTGATGATGAAAGCATGTATTTTCCATTTCCATCACTATATTATATTAACTTGTCCATCCCTCGGTCCATGCATCCATATATACTTGCCCATGTTGGTATAGGTACTTTTAATTGTGACAATGATTGTGAGTTCAGTTTCCACTTTTCAATGATAATTTTTATTTCAGATGTAACTCGTCAGTCATGGGTAGAGATATTTTCTCTACTGAAAAAAATTCAACGATTATCGCCATTTCTTTTAACTCAATACATCTGGTGCGGTATAGTAGGTTAACGGAACAGTTGTTGATGCGATCATCGTTACTAAATTGGTCAGATAGTGAAACATACATTTAGATAAATCTCGATTCAATATACATTCAGCGAAGATATCGGTTATTTTAATTGATGCGCAAATTGGTTTAAAAAAATTTCTTCTCTGCAAACAGGCTTACCAAACTGACAGAGCAATTTCTTTTCTGATGTTCAAATATACCGCGTGTCCCAGATATTTTCATACAGTCAATATAGTTAGTTAGTTAACTACACTTTTCAACCTCATATGACTTTGAAGCCGTTGTGTCAATGTCAACTTGTGTCAAACTACCCCTGAAAAGCTACCCCGAACTACAATTATTCAAGCAACACCCTCGAACGGTACTGATGCAAGAAATATTGAACTATACACAGGGTGATTCCAAATGAATTGTACTTATATTACATTACACTACCCGCTTCACAGCAGATTGATGAAATTTTGATAGTTGGGGGTTTTCAAGGTGAACACATTATTCAAGTTCACATTTCAATCGTTTATCGTTATGAATTTGACATAAACAGCAGTTGATACATCGCAGAAAAATGTGTACCTATATATTATGTGTGTGTATTATTTTACTGATTGATATCGATATAACTCAGGCTAAATAGGTATAATTTACTCAGAACCACCCTGTAAATTGTTAACCATCAACATTTTTCTATGATCATATATCTTTGACATGTGTACAATTCATTACGAATCACCCTGTATATACTACCGTAATGTTCCAGCTGGAATGTTTACCACGATAAATAGATAATCTACTTCTTGATTAAATGATTTTGCATTCGGTGACCCGGTATATTTGATTCTAAAAATGAAGGGAAAATTATGATCCAAGTTTGAGTAATGACGTCTGCGGCAATTTTTCCAAATAGAAAACCATATATTTTATTCAATTCTCGAAATGCCCATGGAAAGCTGGATTCAAAACTATATATCACTCATAGGGCTTTGTATACATTGCGAATTCGGTACTTTAGTAAAATACACTCAACAAACTTTCAGACCTCCATCATAACTATACAATACAAGGAACAATTCTAATATAAGACTGGAGCAACCGCGTTACTCTAACCAGAGATTATACACTCCCCTCTAACTATAAAAAATCACCAATATATATGCTGGTAGTGATCTTTATAATGCCCTACTTACTGATCTCAAGCAGTTGAGAGATATCGTATTCAAGAAAAATCTTCTGAATGGGTGCTTCTATTCGAAATATGGATTTGTGGATTATTTGACAAATATTGATATGATTTGATATCATGCTATTTATGATTAGTTTTTATGACTTGTACAAATTTGTTATGTTATGTCCTCAACTTCTGATGGATGTATATATTATGTATACGTTTTATTCATCTTATTTATTATTATTTGTTTGCTTAGTCATTGTTATGTGTATGTTAGTATGTAATTTCTTGACGAATCCAATCTATTGTATAATAGCTTATGGAGTAATGAAAATAATGATGATGATGATGATGATGATAATAGTGGATATATTCGTGAAAAATCAAAGGAATAATTTCTACTACATGAATCATTCTGAATATATCAATTAAATTTGGAAGAATGCCAATTTCCAAAAATTATTCCTATCAATTTTTACGAATTGAACGGACGCACTGTTTCCAAACCCTATATGTGTGAAATATTTTTGAAATCAGCTTTCCATAGAGATTCCAAAAATTGAATAAT